CCAGACACCAAAACAGCTCAGTTTTTAGAAACTACCAGACGCACCATTTTTAAGCATGAAAATTAACCCCGAATCTCATTCTGATGTCAGTTTTCACATTTAGGTCAAACAAAATTCATCTCCGGAGCACAAAATTCCCTGACCCCGGCATCAGGAATTTCCTTCCCCGGACACCAAAATGGCTCAATTTTTAAAGACTACAAAACACACCCTTTTTAAGCATGAAATTTAACCCTGAATCCCATTATGACGTCCGTTTTTCCATTTGGGTCAAAAAAAAAATTCACCTCCGGAGCACAAAAATCAGGATTTTCCTTCCCCGGACACCAAAACAGCTCAATTTTTAAAAATTGCAAAAAGCACCATTTTTAAGCATGAAATTTAACCCCGAATCCTATTATGATGTCCGTTTTTACATTTGGATCAAAAAAATATTTTCACCTCTGAAGCACAAAAATCCCTGACCCCTGCATCAAGAATTTCCTTCCTCAGACACCAAAACGGATCAATTTTTAAAAACTTCAAAAAGCATCATTTTTAAGCATGAAATTTAACCCCGAATCCCATTATGATGTCCGTTTTTACATTTGGGTTACAAAACATTTTTCACCTCTGAAGCACAAAAATCTCTGACCCGGCATCAGGAATTTCCTTCCCCAGACACCAAAACAGCTCAGTTTTTAGAAACTACCAGACGCACCATTTTTAAGCATGAAAATTAACCCCGAATCTCATTCTGATGTCAGTTTTCACATTTAGGTCAAACAAAATTCATCTCCGGAGCACAAAAATCCCTAACCCTGGCATTAGGAATTTCCTTCTCGGGACACAAAAACGGCTCAGTTTTTAAAAACTACAAGACGCACCATTTGTAAGCATGAAATTTAACCCCGAATCCCATTCTGATGTCCGTTTTTACATTTGGGTTACAAAACATTTTTCACCTCTGAAGCACAAAAATCTCTGACCCGGCATCAGGAATTTCCTTCCCCAGACACCAAAACAGCTCAATTCTTAAAAACTACAAAAGCACCATTTTTAAGCATGAAATTTAACCCCGAATCCCATTCTGATGTCCGTTTTCACATTTGGGTCAAAAAAAAATTTCATCTCCGGAGCACAAAAATCCCAGACCCCGGCATCTGAAATTTCCTTCCCCAGACACCAGAATGGTTCAATTTTAAAAAACTACAAAAAGCATCATTTTTAAGCATGAAATTTAACCCTGAATCCCATTATAATGTCCGTTTTCACATTTGGGTCAAAAATTTTTTTTCACCTCTTAAGCAAAGTAATCTCTGACCCGGAATCAGGAATTTCCTTCCCCAGACAGAATCCCATTCTGATGTCCATTTTTTCATTTGGGTCAAAAAAAAATTCACCTCCGGAGCACAAAAATCAGGATTTTCCTTCCCCGGACACCAAAACAGCTCAATTTTTAAAAACTGCAAAAAGCACCATTTTTAAGCATGAAATTTAACCCTGAATCCATTATGACGTCCGTTTTTCCATTTGGGTCAAAAAAAAATTCACCTCCGGAGCACAAAAATCAGGATTTTCCTTCCCCGGACACCAAAACAGCTCAATTTTAAAAAACTGCAAAAAGCACCATTTTTAAGCATGAAATTTAACCCCGAATCCTATTATGATGTCCGTTTTTACATTTGGGTCAAAAAAATATTTTCACCTCTGAAGCACAAAAATCCCTGACCCCTGCATCAAGAATTTCCTTCCTCAGACACCAAAACGGATCAATTTTTAAAAACTTCAAAAAGCATCATTTTTAAGCATGAAATTTAACCCCGAATCCCATTATGATGTCCGTTTTTACATTTGGGTTACAAAACATTTTTCACCTCTGAAGCACAAAAATCTCTGACCCGGCATCAGGAATTTCCTTCCCCAGACACCAAAACAGCTCAGTTTTTAGAAACTACCAGACGCACCATTTTTAAGCATGAAATTTAACCCCGAATCTCATTCTGATGTCAGTTTTCACATTTAGGTCAAACAAAATTCATCTCCGGAGCACAAAATTCCCTGACCCCGGCATCAGGAATTTCCTTCCCCGGACACCAAAATGGCTCAATTTTTAAAGTCTACAAAACACACCCTTTTTAAGCATGAAATTTAACCCTGAATACCATTATGACGTCCGTTTTTCCATTTGGGTCAAAAAAAAATTCACTTCCGGAGCACAAAAATCAGGATTTTCCTTCCCCGGACACCAAAACAGCTCAATTTTTAAAAACTGCAAAAAGCACCATTTTTAAGCATGAAATTTAACCCCGAATCCTATTATGATGTCCGTTTTTACATTTGGGTCAAAAAAATATTTTCACCTCTGAAGCACAAAAATCCCTGACCCCTGCATCAAGAATTTCCTTCCTCAGACACCAAAACGGGTCAATTTTTAAAAACTTCAAAAAGCATCATTTTTAAGCATGAAATTTAACCCCGAATCCCATTATGATGTCCGTTTTTACATTTGGGTTACAAAACATTTTTCACCTCTGAAGCACAAAAATCTCTGACCCGGCATCAGGAATTTCCTTCCCCAGACACCAAAACAGCTCAGTTTTTAGAAACTACCAGACGCACCATTTTTAAGCATGAAAATTAACCCCGAATCTCATTCTGATGTCAGTTTTCACATTTAGGTCAAACAAAATTCATCTCCGGAGCACAAAAATCCCTAACCCCGGCATCAGGAATTTCCTTCTCGGGACACCAAAACGGCTCAGTTTTTAAAAACTACAAGACGCACCATTTGTAAGCATGAAATTTAACCCCGAATCCCATTCTGATGTCCGTTTTTACATTTGGGTTACAAAACATTTTTCACCTCTGAAGCACAAAAATCTCTGACCCGGCATCAGGAATTTCCTTCCCCAGACACCAAAACAGCTCAATTCTTAAAAACTACAAAAGCACCATTTTTAAGCATGAAATTTAACCCCGAATCCCATTCTGATGTCCGTTTTCACATTTGGGTCAAAAAAAAATTTCATCTCCGGAGCACAAAAATCCCAGACCCCGGCATCTGAAATTTCCTTCCCCAGACACCAGAATGGTTCAATTTTAAAAAACTACAAAAAGCATCATTTTTAAGCATGAAATTTAACCCTGAATCCCATTATAATGTCCGTTTTCACATTTGGGTCAAAAAAATTTTTTCACCTCTTAAGCAAAGTAATCTCTGACCCGGAATCAGGAATTTCCTTCCCCAGACAGAATCCCATTCTGACGTCCATTTTTTCATTTGGGTCAAAAAAAAATTCACCTCCGGAGCACAAAAATCAGGATTTTCCTTCCCCGGACACCAAAACAGCTCAATTTTTAAAAACTGCAAAAAGCACCATTTTTAAGCATGAAATTTAACCCTGAATACCATTATGACGTCCGTTTTTCCATTTGGGTCAAAAAAAAATTCACCTCCGGAGCACAAAAATCAGGATTTTCCTTCCCCGGACACCAAAACAGCTCAATTTTTAAAAACTGCAAAAAGCACCATTTTTAAGCATGAAATTTAACCCCGAATCCTATTATGATGTCCGTTTTTACATTTGGGTCAAAAAAAATTTTTCACCTCTGAAGCACAAAAATCCCTGACCCCTGCATCAAGAATTTCCTTCCTCAGACACCAAAACGGCTCAATTTTTAAAAACTGCAAAAAGCACCATTTTTAAGCATGAAATTTAACCCCGAATCCTATTATGATGTCCGTTTTTACATTTGGGTCAAAAAAAATTTTTCACCTCTGAAGCACAAAAATCCCTGACCCCTGCATCAAGAATTTCCTTCCTCAGACACCAAAACGGCTCAATTTTTAAAAACTTCAAAAAGCATCATTTTTAAGCATGAAATTTAACCCTGAATCCCATTATGATGTCCGTTTTTACATTTGGGTTACAAAATTTTTCACCTCTGAAGCACAAAAATCTCTGACCCGGCATCAGGAATTTCCTTCCCCAGACACCAAAACAGCTCAGTTTTTAGAAACTACCAGACGCACCATTTTTAAGCATGAAAATTAACCCCGAATCTCATTCTGATGTCAGTTTTCACATTTAGGTCAAACAAAATTCATCTCCGGAGCACAAAATTCCCTGACCCCGGCATCAGGAATTTCCTTCCCCGGACACCAAAATGGCTCAATTTTTAAAGTCTACAAAACACACCCTTTTTAAGCATGAAATTTAACCCTGAATACCATTATGACGTCCGTTTTTCCATTTGGGTCAAAAAAAAATTCACTTCCGGAGCACAAAAATCAGGATTTTCCTTCCCCGGACACCAAAACAGCTCAATTTTTAAAAACTGCAAAAAGCACCATTTTTAAGCATGAAATTTAACCCCGAATCCTATTATGATGTCCGTTTTTACATTTGGGTCAAAAAATTTTTTTCACCTCTGAAGCACAAAAATCTCTGACCCGGCATCAGGAATTTCCTTCCCCGGACACCAAAACAGCTCAATTCTTAAAAACTACAAAAGCACCATTTTTAAGCATGAAATTTAACCCCGAATCCAATTCTGATGTCCGTTTTCAAATTTGGCTCAAAAAAAAATTTCACCTCCGGAGCACAAAAATCCCTGACTCCGACATCAGGAATTTCCTTCCCTGGACATCAAAACGGCTCAATCTTTAAAAACAACAAAAATCACCATTTTTAAGCATGAAATTTAATCCCTAATCTCATTCTGACGTCCGTTTTAATATTTAGGATCTACCCTGGCTGCTGAAAAAAAAAAAAGAAAAAGCAGTAAGTCTACCCTTTTACAAGTATATCCAGTGTGTGTTCACATATTTGCAAGACGTACAATAAAATGAACTGGATTTTGACTTTATTTCCAGCATTTATTAAAAATCCCTTGATACATTTTTGCTAATCTATCTGGGGTCCAGTACCAATTATATAAATCACTTTTTAAGTGTGAGTAAAGTGAGAAAATTACAAGAACTCGCAGAAAGTCCATAGTGTAATGGCGGAACTTTTCTAAAAGAGAATGCAAAGTGCTGAAGGAGTGTGGTTATTGCTAAGATGTTTTGAAAGCAATGATTCTTTTTCCTCTTGTGATTGTTCTCCATGACAACTTTCAGCTTCTGATAGGTTATCTGGGGGCAGAGGGAGAACAAAGGTGTGAGAAAAACAATTTGGAATATTCTCATTAAAGTTTGAGCTGTGGCCAGAACCAGTTTGTCAGCCATTCTATGGATCGCCCCCTGCTAATTCCTTGTCAGTTTTCATAGGTGAGAATTGCTATTTTCATAAACAATAATAGTAAAGTTCATGTAACTGCTTGACCAAGTTCAGTTCTTTCCTCTCAAACCTGCAAGTGTGTGTATCTAAACAAAAAAAAAAACAACTTACAAAACTCAAATATGTAAACAACCCAACGGTTATATCCATGTTATACTTCATGCCAAGAGAAAAGAATAGTTCTCTCTGTTCCTTAATAATTGATTGTAGAATATAGGATCGTAAGAAGTAGGGAGTCCCATGAAATTGATGTTCTTTGTAACTTAGAAATTCTTAGAAATAATTTTCAATTTGCTCATAACCGTGATTTAAGTGCTGCTGGACAGCTTGTTTCTACTTTTCCACCAATATTTTGCCAGTTCCCCAATGAGGTGAGTTAGACTGAGTGAGGGGAGGTTCATTCAGATGCAATCAATCCCCAGGTTCTAAATTTCCTCATTCCTAGATTAATGCTGCTACAGGTATAATGCTGGAAAAGACCACATGTTCTTTGTGATTCCTTCTCCAAACTATGGAACTATGATAAGCAGCAGCAGGCCTAAAATGGCTCCTGAGTAAATAAGACAGATGCACAGTGTAAAAATCATAGGGAATCTGATCAAAGTGTACCACCATGTAACCAATGCCTAACCCCTCCCCCATCTGCATATAGTGAGCATACTATACATGTTTTCATGAGATACTACTGAAGAATGCTACTGGGAATTCTGTCATCAAATCTGAGGGATTACTTTATCTAGTTGGTTCAGAAAAAAAGTTTTTAAATATGTAATAATTAGACATAGTATCTATAATAAATGGAGGCCTTCCAGCAAGTCAGTTTTTGCCAATCACATTCCACTATAAGCCAACCTTGAGCTAGCAGTGTGCTGCAGCTGCCAAAAAAGCCAACACAGTGCTGGGCTGCATTAACAGAGGGATAGAATCAAGATCACGTGAAGTATTAATACCATTTTACAATGCCTTGGTAAGGCCACACTTGGAATACTGCATCCAGTTTTGGTCACCACTATGTAAAAAAGATGTAGAGACTCTAGAAAGAGTACAGAGAAGAGCAACAAAGATGATTAGGGGACTGGAGGCTAAAACATATAAGGAACGGTTGCTGGAATTGGGTATGTCTAGTTTAACGAAGAGAAGGACAAGGGGGGACATGATAGCAGTGTTCCAATATCTCCGGGGCTGCCACAAAGAAGAGGGAGTCAAGCTATTCTCCAAGGCGCCTGAAGGAAGGACGAGAAGCAATGGATGGAAACTGATCAAGGAGGGAAGCAACTTAGAACTAAGGAGAAACTTCCTGACAGTTAGAACAATTAACCAATGGAACAACCTGCCTCCAGAAGCGGTGAATGCTTCAAAACTGGAAGTTTTTAAGAAGAGACTGGACAGCCATTTGTCCGAAATGGTATAGGGTTTCCTGGCTGAGCAGGGGGTTGGACTAGATGATCTCCAAGGTCCCTTCCAACTTTATTTTTATTATTATTAAACACCTGGCAGTCGGCAGAATTAGTCTGCAATACTGCATTCTAACCACTGCGCCACCATGGATCAGCTCATTTCTCTCTGCTATATATTTATAATGACACTGAATAGTATCAGAAGCAAAAAGAATGGTTACCAGGGCAAGGAATAGAACAGGTAAGGTAGATAAGAGACTTGACAGATTTTCTTCAAAACTGTAATCATATCTGATTGTTGAGATGGAAACTTCTAGACTAGTACATACAGTACAGTCCTGTCAGTGTACTGTAAATGGGCCTCTAATTTTCTGACATGCAATTGTAGAATTATGAGACGGGACTGACTTTTCAGAATGTCAGTGGTAGTTGAGCCTCGGAATTACAGTGAAAGACATTGGGGGATATACAATTTTTTGCTAAATCCTCCAACTATGGTGGGACTACCACTGCAGTATTCCCATTGATCATAGCTGGCTAAGAAGTCTGGCAGTTGAAATTTAAAATCTCATTACAACAGGTTGAGGAAGACACTCATAGTATGGACATTTCTGATATATATGTATGGGTAGTCCTCAACGTATGACCACGGTTGAGCCCAAAATTTCTGTTGCTAAGTGAGAAATTTGTTGAGTGAATTTTGTTCGATTTTACGACTTTTCTCTCCACGTTTGCTAAGTAAATCACTGCAATTGTTAAATTAGTAACAGGGCTGTTAAGTGAATCTGGCTTCTCCATTGACTTTGCTTGTCAGAAGGTTGTAAAAGGTGATCACATAACGCGAGGACAATGCAATCGTCATAAATATGAGTCAATTGTCGAGCATCCAAATGTAGATCCACGGGACCATGAGGATAGTGTCATGTATGAAAAATGGCCATAAGTCACTTTATTCAGTGCCATTGTAAATTGTAAGTTGTAAGTGGAGGACTATCTGTATACACACACACAGGCACGCACACATGCACACATGTATGCAAGCACACACACACATACATACACACACATTATATTACATACCATTGCTAGGAACATTCCTAGAAGTCTCTTCAAGCCGTCCCATTATTTCATCCTCAGTAGCATTGAGATTTTGTTTCAGGAAATAGGTTGACATTTTCCCTTTGCCTTTCACCTTTATGTTTCCCCTTTCTGCTATCTCAAACACTTGAGGAGGAAGTGCTCTGTGCAGTGCAAGAAACAACAAGAACAACATATAGAGTTCATGACTTATTGCTAACTGGCCATAGCTGGCTAGCACCGCAAAAAGTTATAAGCAAACAAACCATATTTTGGCTTAGCACAATATGCAGAGCAGATTATGAGATTTAATCCTGGCACAGTCAAGTTCCCGTCTGATGGATTTGGTGTTTCATTGCAAGCCCTTACTTACTTGAATGTTGTGGAGCCGATATGGATTTTGTCTGGCAATCCATGGCTTTCCATCCTGGAAGCTGTATTGACAGTATCACCAAATAAACAGTATCTGGGCATTTTCTCCCCGACTACACCAGCCAACACTGGTCCGGTGTGTATCCCAATTCTAATCTGTTGAGAGAAACACAATATGCAAGACACAATGTGGAAGAGGTTCTTGTGGAAATATATTCCTTTAGTGAGTTCTGGAAGAAATCTAAATTATTCTTTTAACTCTTTGTGTGTGTGTGTGTGTGTGTGTGTGTGTGTGTGTGTGTGTTTCTTACCATTTCTCATGAAGAAGATGCCAGAGATCCATTTATATAAATAATCTTTCCCTTGCAATTGTCCCATCAGGGCCCTCATTTGAAACCGGGATTGATTTTGTATTTTAAGATTTGTTACATATGGTTCATAATTTGGGGTTTTATTAATGTTTTCTTTCTTTTTTATGTATCTCAACCACCTTAGAAGGGGTTTATCGTTAAAAACACCACAGAGATATTTCAAATAAATATTTTAAATAATTTTGAAGAAATGAAAAGGTTGCCTTGCTTATATTTAGTGATTTTAATTGGTTGAACAGAAGTTGTCTTGGCAGTTATTTATTTATTTATTGGGAGTAGTTTCTATTCAAGTTTAGAAAAATTAAAAATAAAATCCCCACTCAGCAGGCTCCTGATTTAAGAAATGCCTGTAGGAGGGAAGGGGAACTGAGGGATGAAAACAAACAAATCCAGAGACTTGTTCCTTATATCAGGGGGCCTCAACTTATGGGCACAGCCCACTACCAGGCTGTGGCCTACTGGCCACTGGGCCACAGGACAGGCTGGCTAGTGTGCGCACTCACCCCATTGTGCTCAGGCTGCTGCCACGCAAACAAGGTGCTGCACAGTGAAAACAGTACGCCCTGTAGCAAAAATGGGGCACCACATGGCAAAAGCGGGGTGCTGCACAGCAAAAATGGGGCGCCACACAGCAAAAATGGGGTGGCACTAGCCCATGTGGCAAAAATTGGGTGGTGCTAGTGAGCGTCATGTGGGTGCTAGCACCGCCCCGTTTGCGTCACATTTGTGCGTGCAGGTACATAAAATGCTTCTCCCTCCTTTTCCCTCCGGCCCACCAACCAAGAAAGATTGGAGAACTCTGCCTTATATGATACATCAACATTTAGCAGAGAGAGTAGCCATATAAAAGGAGACATTTCAGGAAAGGAAGAAGAAAACAATTGGTGCCTGCTATAATCATTCTGTTTTAATTCTGTCTCTTCTCTCTGCTGCAAGTGAGATGGCTTGATCTTTTTCTTTTGTTTAAGTCTTAAAACTATGAATTACCTGTATAGGTCTAGTGGTAATAGGGTTCATAACTTCTCTTGCAGCAATTCTCATGCCAAGGGCAAAATTAGCCACCCTTTCCGCATGACTGGCAACTGGGACTGGAACTCCTCCTACAACCATGTAGGCATCACCAATGGTTTCCACCTATAAAGCAAGATGCATAGTGAAGTACGCATGGATACCCACAACCATTTGCCTAGGCTGGCATGCTGGTGCCTGCCAGATATTTGGATTGCAACTCTTACATTCCACTGCTAGTTGGAGCTAATGGGAACTAAATTTCCAAAAGTTTTGTAAATGAACATAGCAATCATATCTCCTTATTCATTTATTTTATTTAATAAATGTATTTGCTGCCTATGTCACTGTGGGAATAATCTAGGCAGATTACTTCTATTTCTTTCATTTTACTTGGGGAATCCTTCATTTTACTTACTGCAATGCTTTCTTGTTTTAAAAAAAATATTTTATTAATAATTTCTAAAAGAAAAAAGGACAAATGAACAAGTGAAAGAAAAGAAAACATGGGGAAAATTGATGGAGAAATATAATATTCAGTAAGTGGATTACTGAGATTGTACAGTTAATGCTCAATATATTGTTGATGAGAAATTAACTATAAAAACTCAAGTACATTAAAAATATGAGAACGCTGACTGATGCAGCTAGACAGGTATATTTCATTTACCACTAAGCAAACAATGGTTGAGACATTGGATTGCCCTGGCTAATCAATAAAAATACATTACTGTATATACAGTAGTTATCCATGTCTTTTCCAATCCGATATTTTCCATTCACATGTGATTGCAATAACATTAATAGCAGTAGCAATAGTACTTAGACTTATAAACTGCCCCTAGGACTTTATAGCATTATCTAATCAGTTTACAGAGTCAGCATATTGTCCCCAGAATCTGGATCCAACCTTGGAAGGATGGAAGGCTGAGTCAAATTTGAACTGGTCAGGATCGAACTCCAGGCTGTGGGCAGAGTTTGCCTGCAATACTCCATTCTAAGCACTGAGCCACCACGGCTTTTTTAAATTAAAAAACTGTTGCCAACATTTGTTAAAATCAAGTAATTCAATTCAAACCAAAAATATCTTGTTAAACAGCTAGTATGGCCAATTGCTGGAAATTCTGGGAGTTCCAATCAAAATGTTGGGGATGGCTGTGAGAGCAGATCAATCTCTTTGCAGGAAGGGAAAAGTGGAGGGAATGGTTGCAAGCCAGAAAATTGCTAAATTATACTAAGCAATGTCTAGTCTTGAAGTTGGTGTAGGAAGCTCATGATTTTCAGGATTCATTCTCCCTTCTTGCTGCCAATCTAAAATTATTCATCCATTCATCATATGCCCTTGGGCTGCAAAAGACAGCAGCAAATGTTATAAACATCAGCAACATTTACTTTATAAACTCCATGGATGCTAGTCAGTCGATCAAACTTGGAATACATTAAATTAAGCATGTTCACGATCTGAATAGGTTCACAGACAGAACAGATGTTTGTGAAAGTCACTACGTCACTGAAAAGTATTGTGCAGCAGCTAAAATCTCCTGGGGAATAAACAAAAAAAGAATAGTCAATTTTCAGAAGCAACAGTTTCTCTGTTTTTGGTTTTTAATACGGCAAGAATAAAATACTCAATCAAAAAAATGGTTAATGGAAAATGATCTTTAACTATTGTCGCCACTTGCCTGAATCCTACTAAAAGCTGGAAAACAAATCGCAGCGTATGTGACCTCTCACTCATTAATATATTATAAAGGTGTGCATATTGATGGATTGACCCTAGTGGTTTAGATGCTAGGCTTTATTGAAATAAGTTGATTGACAAAGAAACAAATTCTTGTGTCATTTCAGAACACACGAGTCTGAAAGCCTCTCCTTTACACTTTCTAAAATCTAGTTTACAACAAAGTTTAGAAACACACACAATTGGTCCAACAATGTAAGTAATAGCATGCAAATCCCTAGACAACAGATGGATGATCTTGAAAAAAGTCATGTTTGCATGTCCACCCTCTTGAAGCAACAAGGTGTATGCCAAACCAATGGCCATTATCATTGTTGTTAAAATTATGGAGACTGCATATAGTTTAGTTTTGTACTTATCTGTAAAGTAAAGATTGTGGAAAATACCTGTGTGCTAAATATATGTCCTGTTTTCACTTGGTTCCCAGGAAACCACATCTCTATGCAAACCAAGTCCAAGCACACAAAATCTTAGCTTCGAAAGGAGTATTTCCAGATATTCAGTTGAAGTCCTTACCCTTCCAGGACATGCCATTTTCTATTTGATAATCAAAGACAATAAAATTGCCATACCTGCTTTGACTTTTTTGCCTTCCTTCAGCTGATTAGCCACATGTTTTGGTAACATGGCATAGAGTAAAGTTTCCGATTTCTTCTTTTCTATCTCTAGGTTCTTAGAGAGAATCCTGAGCTCTTCCTTTTTTCTTTCTAGTTGGTTGGATAGTTCTATCTCTGCCAGCCGCTGCTGGTTGAAGAGGATGAGGTCTCTTGTTGGGTCATGCTGGGCAATGTCAGAAAGGTGCATTTCTTGTTCTTCTAACTCATCTAAACTGCGGAGCTTTGGTGAGCACAAGTAAATCATGCTGTGAATGCAGTCCATCCAGATCATTTGTCCTTTTCCAAATAAACACATTATACAATGCTTTCCATTAGGCTTAACCTATGAATTATCTGTATCTTATCTAAATAAGTGTCAGTAAACTGAATGTGAAGATTGTAAATTCTGTGGGCCTAATGTCTAGATTTCACAGGTTTTGCAAATGCTTCAATACCCTCTTTTATTTTGGGTTTAGAATTTAGGATCTAGGATCTTTCATTCCTGTGTAAGGTCTTGAAAGAGTTAAAGGCAACAGATCGATCAAGTTCACACAGTGCAATAACATCAAGATTGGCAACTTCTTACAAATTATTGTAATCTTCAAGTCTTTCCCCCTTTGGTATCTCCAAAATTCCTCTAAAATTGTGCTATCAGAATTTGGTGGTAAACATCTGAATTAGGACAGCATTATTCCCTCTCAATTTAGATGGAAAATGAAAGAAACTCAGCTGATTTTTTTTTTTTTGCAAGTTCTACAACAGGGATTAAGAACTTTATAGGTAAAAAAAATGTACACATGAGATCGAGAATAAGAAATGCTAAATGAATGAGGAGTGGGTACAGAAGTGAATGATCAGTATGAAAGAAGTACATTAAGGTGGGTTGGTCACATAAAACAATGAATCAAACTGTAAAATAAATCTATGAGGAAAGGGTGAATGGATGAAGAGTAAAGGAAAATCCTAGAAAGATCATGATAGGGTGGGATCCTCAAAAACAAATTGTCTCAAGAACAAAAGACTGTGTTAGTTATGGACATGGTGGAAGGCAGCTTGCTTCGTAAATATAGAAAGATATTGAGGTTACAATGAATGTGACTAGTATAAATTACTTTCAGCCATGTTTCCTTTCCTTTTCTAATCCAATGGCTTTCACTCCTTATTTCTTTTCTGCACTCAGCATAATGTTGCTTGTCCCCAAAGGAAATATCATGACAGATAGGTAGGCCTTTGCCATCACTGAGCAGTTAATTTAATTTACTACTGGCTACCTGACTCTACCAGAAAATGATTACTGTATGCTAATTTTATTCCTTCTTCTATTTTTCTTAAATTTCAAAAGTTTACAGAAAATGTGTACCTCTGAGCTTCAGCGCAGGCCGTTTCTTCACTGACTTGGACATAATTTCTCTCCTTATCTTGAGAACAAACTGGCTGTTGATAAACTTTTTCATGCAGGAAATAGTGAAGGTGACTTGTGGATGAATAATAGAAAAATACTCATCTAATCTGGTTCCATTTATTTGCAATCCAGGTACAAATTTCTGAATATTTACACCGGCCTGTTTGATTTTCAGCTAAGGACAGAACCAAAAGGTAATTTCAACAACTAAAAAAGACTTTTTAAACCTTCTTCAGAAACAATGGGTAACAAAACATTACCGGAAAATTAAAGTGGAGCCACTTGAAACATGTTTTTCATATCACTGTAAAACTGGGTTTAAGACTGGATTCTGTAAGGGCCCACACAACAGTCAGTAACTTCCCACTTGCATACAATCCCAGCCTCCTTTTTAATGGTTGTAGGCATCTTCTATAATGCTGATATATGATTAGCGTACCAGTGAAAATAACTATATGAGTTCTCACTTTTTTGATGAAAGGAAATGGTAAATAAATTAATGCATTAAGCCTTTCATTCTTACAATATCTATTTTATGTATATATTTTTTAAAAAAAACCTTGCTCCCAACCAGTTCCTCTAGTAACAACTCCATATCACTGTCTCACACCTTGCAAGCTATGATAGCCATTTTTTCCAAACCTAATCCTCACCTGCATGACTATCCTGCCTTGACTTTACATATTTTTACTAATTTTAATAATTTATGTACTGTTGCAGCAAGTGTTGGTCTAATAGAAACGACTAAGCATGCCCACACCAGCCCACCCTCTAGCTCAATGGTGGCAAATCTATGGCACGGGTGCCAGAGGCGGCATTCAGAGCCCTCTCTGTGGGCACGCACACCATCACCCCAGCCCGCCTCCCCCCACGGCCTCCTCCTCACCAGCAGCCCCCCCGGAGAGTCACCCTCAATCATGGCCTGCGCGGATCAGTACATCCAAGGACATGGCAGCCAGGCAGCAGGGACATGACACCACCCCTGCTCTGTATTGCGCGCAGTTAATACTGTGGGGCGCAGGTGGAAGGCGTAGCTGCCATAGCACTGCTGGGCCACCTGGGTGATCTGCGGCAGACCATAGAGGCAGTGGATGGCCCTGTGGGTGGGGGCGGAGCTGGGGCAGAGTGGGTAGGGGCAGGGGGCGGAGCAAGGGTGGGGAGGGGTGGCGGAGAGGGCCGGTTTTGGGGCACTTGGTCTCTAAAAGGTCACCATCACTGCTCTAGCTGAATGGTTAAGTCCAAAGAATCCATCCCAAAGTTTCCTTACTGTTTCATCAAACACGAGGTGGAAAGGAAATGCGTGGCAGAAGGTTCTCTCGTCAAGCCAAAGCCTCTCAGGGAACAATGGCTCAAAGGTATGTAGAAGGTTTCCTGTAGAAAAGAAACAGATTTTTTTCTGGAGTTTGCTTCCTTCTCCCACCTGATCCCCCTCCCAGCCAGCACGACTAACAGAAGACATCCGTTTGGGAAGGTCTTGCGGACAATTTCTGGATTATTTTCCACTTTATGTTCGCTTATCTTTCTCTTCAGTGATCAATTGAAATAATGCTATCATTTTGTCAAAGAACTGCACTGAGGTCAGTGTGGTGCAAGATCTCTGTTTTAACAAAATGGAGCACCAGTGGCTGTCCCTTTCGCATGTAAAGTTAATTCCCTGAATTAATATTTTTCCCAATCATTCAAACAGAATTTCCTTAATTATCACTCTAAATATGATAAATTTCACTTGACATGGACTGGCATCCGTAGTTCCTATGATTCTATTGAGAGCAAAGGTAGCCTCCCTTTAGTTCAGGGATCCCCAACTCCCGGGCTGCGGCTGACTACCAGGCCTCAGCCTGTTCAGAACCAGGCTGTGTGAATGGTGGGCGAGTGTGCTTGTGTATGCAGCTTCACTTGCAGAAGCGGCGGGTGCTCGCACTTGTACATGAAGCTCCATTTGTGAAAGCAGCAGGTGCCCACGCCTGTCACTCGCACAAAACCATCCCCTCTCCCCCCCCCCCCGGCTACCAAGCCAAAAGGTTGGGGACGGCTGCTTTACTTGGATCGTTGTTATTTTGGTTACATGGAAGAAGACAAAGCTAGCCTACATAAATTGGAGCTTGACCTTGAATCGGTTGAGTTTTCTGCAGAAATGAACTGCATGATTTTGGCAGCTTTAAAAATGGAATAACAGAGTGTTTTTTTTTTTTTTAAAGAAACATGATATTCCTGAGTATTCAGATTCCCAAGTATTTAAAATCACATGACAGACTTGATAAGTGTGCTAGATAGGCTAGCCCTTTCTATGACATAAAAATATCATCTTTTACTATTGTCAATTCTATGGAGACATTTATTTACTGATTTATTGAATTTATTTGCCACCCATCTCGTAGTCAGTGGTCAAGTCTGGGTGGCTACCAGCATTAAAACCTTAAAATCTTAATGTTGTGTCCTGAGCCTGCAAAGGCAGGCTTGGGACGTTGCAATGGTCCCGGGCAGTTGCAAGCTGCCCGGCACCAGACTGGCTGGCGCCGGCTTTGCGCACATGCGCGAAGTGCAGAGCGCACCAAATATTGCCATTTGGCCCGGGGAAGCCTTCTTAAGAGAAGCAGAGAGGCCTGCGTGCCTCAGAACTGTAACAGAGCTGAAGAAACAACAATAAAGGCTTCTTGACGCTACGAGATGTTCTGTGCTTATTCGTCATGAAGCTGAGGACTTAACACTGGCAACGAAGGTGGGATGTCTTACAATCAATTAAGAAGAATTGTAAGCTTACCCAGGAGTCCTGAGAGCATCTAGGAAGACGGCGTTAAATTCAGCACCTGCCTGCCAATACAGCAGCATTGGAGGTAAGCTGGCTGATAGACCCTTTCCTTACAAAAGAGAAAAATGGCGAAGATAGGAAGGCTCTCTGAATTTGATGTCACGCACCCAGAAAGATGGGAGTCTTATGTGGCCAGAGTAGAAAACTACTTTAGAGTAAACCAAGTTAGAGAAGATGGCTTAAAGGCCGCTACCTTGCTGTGTGTTTGTGGTCAAGATGCATTTGAAATTGCTGAAAACTTAGCAGCCCCTGCGCCTCTTGAATCTGTCACCTACACAGATTTAAAAAAATTACTAAAAGAACATTTTCAGCCCAAGTTGTCTGTTATTGCATGGAGACATACTTTTGAACAGAGGGATCAATGGGCTGGTGAAACAGCTAAAGAATACATTGCAGCTTTGAGAAGAGCAGCTAAGCCTTGTGAGTTTAAAGACTTAGAAGAAAGGCTGAGAGACAGATTTGTATGTGGGCTTAGGAACAGAGACTTGCAGCAGAGACTTTTTGCAAAGGAAGATATATCATTCCAAGATGCCCTGAGAGAGGTTACTGCAGAAGAGGCAGCAGGTGGGGCAATCAAAAATATGAGGCCTATCTGAAGCACTCCATAAGCTTTTTCCGTGCACCATGAGAGAGTCCAGGAGAGCTCGGAAGAGGATCCTGAAGATGAGGTGGATCATCTCTACCCAGCCAAAGAAAGGAAGCAGAAGGAAGGCAAAGAAAAGTCTTCAGCTGTACCCAAGTGCTTCGGGTGTGGAGGTCGCCATAGGAGGACCGACTGCAGGTTCCGTTCTGCAATCTGTAGAGCATGTGGAAAGCAAGGCCACATAGCAGCTGTGTGTCTGGGCCATCAGAAGGTACAACCCCGAGAAGAATTGCGCCTGAAAGGTACCAGGGTCCCCAGCCAAAACAGGGTGGGTTTCTGTGCATCACGAAGAAGCATTTATAGGACAGGCATACACAAGCCACTAAAAAAGAAACTGTCACTTAAGGTGAAGTTGCAAGGAGTTCCATTGGTCATGGAACTAGACACTGGGTCTGCACTTTCAATTATTTCCATTCACACATTCAGGAAGATTTGCTCTAGCAGTGGATTCCAGGCCAAGCTTAAGCCATCCAATATAGTTCTAACAGACTTTCAAAACTCCAAGGTGTGTGTTAAGGGGGAGGCCACCCTTAATGTACAATATAAGGATTTTGAAGGTCCATTAGATGTATTGATAGTTGGCGGTGAGTGCACGAGTCTCATAGGACCCGATTGGTTTGAGGCCTTGGGAATACAAGTTACAGGACTTAACAGTTTGCAAACAGTAGGTCTACGAGAAGTCTGCAAAGAATTTGCAGATGTCTTCAGCCCGCAGCTGGGAACATACAGAGGGCCCCCAGTTTCCTTAAAGTTGGACCCCACTGTCACTCCTATAAGAGTAAAAGCAAGGAGAGTACCTTTTGCTTTAAAAGGAAAAATTGATGCTGAATTGGACAAATTGATTCAGCAAGGAGTCTTAGAACCTGTTGACTCCAGTCCTTGGGAAACCCCCATAGTCATGCCTCTTAAGGCTAATGGGGACATTTACATCTGTGCAGATTACAAATGCACTCTAAACAAGGCATTGCAACAACATGCGTATCCTGTACCTGTAGTCAGCCATATTCTGGCCTCCCTCAAGGGGGGGGGGCGTGTTTTTGCAAAGCTAGATTTAGCACAGGCTTATCAACAGTTACCTGTTGATGAAGCTGCTGCTGTAGCACAAACCATTGTAACACACAGGGGGGCATTCAGAGTCAAAAGACTACAATTTGGAGTAAACGTGGCTTCTGGAATTTTCCAAAGCATAATGGAAAATACCTTGAGAGGTATACCAGGGGTTTGCCCCTATTTTGATGATGTTTTAATTGCTGGAGATTCCACTCAAAATTTAGCTGAGAGATTGAGGGCTGTCTTGCTGCAGTTCCAGAAAATGGGCCTCAAACTCAAAAAGGACAAATGTAAAATTGGGGTGCCTTCTACAGATTTTCTGGGATTCAAAATTGATGCCAATGGGATTCATCCTGCTGACTCCAAATTAAAAGCCATCATGCAAGCTCCTAGGCCTAAGTCCAAAGCTGAACTACAAGCTTTTCTGGGCCTCTTGAATTTCTATAATGCTTTCATTCCTAACAAAGCTAATGTAGCTGAACCACTTCATAGGCTTCTGGACAAACAGGCAGTGTGGCAGTGGTCACAAGCATATGAAGCAAGCTTCAATGAGGTTAAGGCATTACTTACATCCAATAATGTGCTTGCACATTTTAATGAAACTCTTCCTGTGTGCATTGCTTGTGATGCCTCCCCTTATGGGGTGGGAGCAGTACTTAGCCATCTAAGACCTGATGGAACTCAGGTTCCTGTTGCCTATTACTCCAGAACCTTGTCTTCTGCTGAGCGAAACTACACCCAGATAGACAGGGAGGCCTTAGCTGTTGTTGCTGGAATTAAAAAATTCCATGATTTTTTATATGGCAGACATTTCACAGTCTACACTGACCATAAGCCTTTATTGGGGTTGTTTACTACAAACAAACAAACAAACCCCCCATATCATCTCCCCCAGGATGCTGAGATGGTCCATCTTTCTGTCAGCCTATGATTTTTCTTTAGTTCACAAACCTGGCAAAGAAATGGGCCATGCTGATGGCCTCAGTAGATTACCCTTACAAGTAGTAGAGGCTGATCCGGCCCCTGCCATCAACATCCTTTCCATTCAGGTGCTGCCTGAGTCACCTTTAAATGCCAGGGATGTGGCTGCTGAGTCAGCCACAGATCTCACACTCTCTCGCGTATTATCCTGGGTTTTGTCTGGATGGCCAGAGAGTTGTCCAGGTACTGAGTTTCAGAGTTTCTGGCTTAAGAAACATGAGTTATCCACTTTCCAGGGTTGTCTGCTGTGGGGCAGCAGAGTTGTTATTCCTACCTCAATGAGATCTAGGGTCTTAGGTTCCCTTCATGAGGGCCATCCTGGCATTGTAAGAATGAAGGCGCTTGCGCGCAGCCATTTGTGGGTTAGACAAGGAAATTGAGGCTAAGGTGCATGCATGCCACCTTTGTCAGCACTCACTCCCAGAAATGCCCCAGGCTCCTGTACATAGATGGGAGGACACACAGTCACCTTGGTCCAGGGTGCACATTGATTACGCTGGGTCCTTTCAGGGTCAATTCTTCTTGGTTATTGTTGATAGCTATTCAAAGTGGCTTGAGGTTGTACCTGTCTCTTCAACCACCGCTGCCAAGACCATTCAAGTAGTGAGGGGGATTTTTGCTGCACATGGGCTTCCGGATGTTTTGGTGTCTGACAATGGCCCTCAATTCACCTCTTCCGAATTCCAAGCTTTCTTACAGGCCAACATGATTCGTCATGCCACCTCTGCACCTTTCCACCCTTCCACCAACGGTATGGCTGAACGGATGGTCCGCATCACCAAGGATGCTTTAAAGAAACTGACCTATGGGGACTGACACCACAGGTTGGCAGACTTTCTTCTTGCACCGCACCACACCTTCTACTTCTACTGGGAAAAGCCCAGCTGAACTTCGCTGGGGGTGCAAACTGATTACTAAACTTGACCGGTTGCACCCGGACAGACTGCCTCCTAAGGCTACACAACCCAGGGCACCGAGATATCTGCAAGTGGGTGCCCCGGTATGGACCCGTAATTACGGGCCAGGTCACTTGTGGGCTCCTGCTGTAGTATGCAAGGTTACTGGTCCTTTGTCATACGAGGTCTCGTTGGATGACGGTCGTATCCTTCAGCGGCATATCGACCAGCTGCGTACAAGACTGGACTTACCCTCAGAAACTCCTGGGTCTTTTCCAGGGGGGGGAGGGGGACCACTATGGGCAAAGGGATGGGTGTTGGCAGCAGCCGGACCCAAACAGAGAGGCCACAGATGGCCTATTCCAAGATTCCGCAAGTGTTCCGAACAGGAATCCATGGGAACTAGGAAGCACACAGGCACCAGTGCCTACTCCAGCCAGGGAGTCACCCAGGGGGCATACTAATCATTCACAAATACCATTTAGTACTCCAGTCAGGGAGAATAACCCGGAGCATCCTAATAACTCAAACATTGCAAGAGAGCTGGCACATAAACAGTCTAGTTGGCCCAATACTGCTGCTGTTTCCAGAAGGAGGCATTCACACAGGGAGGTGGTCGGGGAGGCAAATCCCAATTCTGACACCTCTGGCACAGATGGGGGGGGGCAACTGAGTTTTGGGGAAATACTGAAACCCCAGACAGTCCCGTTACGGGACTGGGAAGCAAAGGAATGCAGCCCCTTGATAGGTCCAATGTGGGCCTGGGAGGCCCTACAGCAGCGGTTCTCAACCTATGGGTCACGACCCCATTTGGGGTCGATCGACCATTTTCCGGGGGTCGCCAAAGAAGGCGATCCGCCATTTTCTCCCCTCAGGGGGCACCGCCGCGCATGCACGCTGCGCATGCGCAGAACGTTTGTGTGACGGGGGTCGCCGTCACACAAACGTTGAGAACCGCTGCCCTACAGAGTTGCCTAACAGTTGCAGTTTTATAGAAGGGCCAGAGAGCCTGCAACTAGGCAGGTCAACCAGGTTATTGGGAGAACAAAGTCCTGGTCTGACGAGCCCGGTGGGCAAGCAAGCAGACCAGGCAACAGGGCACAGTCCATGGGGACCACCAGGGTCTGAAAGAGGGGGCAACTTCATGTCATCCTCTAGGCAAAATGAAAAATTGGGGATTATCAGGGTCTAAGGAGATCACAGAGAGTCAAGAGATCTCCTAAGTACCTTGAAGACTTTGTAACTCTGCTGGAAAAGCAGAAACAGTGAGAGGGTGTCTGTTGTTGGGAACAATGGAAATACGGGCATTGGGTATTAATCCCCAGAATAATAGCCCGGTACCATTTGGAGCATGGGTTGGCACACCACACTCGTGTCGAGGTCGCGTGTAACTATTCATATAGTTTATTAGTCTTAGCCGGGGGGGGGGAAGGGGTGTTGTGTCCTGAGCCTGCAAAGGCAGGCTCAGGACGTTGCAATGGTCCCGGGCAGTTGCAAGCTGCCTGGGACCAGACTGGCTGGCGCCGGCTTTGCGCGCCAAATGTTGCCATTTGGCCAGGGGAAGCCTTCTTAAGAGAAGCAGAAAGGCCTGCATGCCTCAGAACTGTAATGGAGCTGAAGAAACAACAATAAAGGCTTCTTGACACTACGAGATGTTCTGTGCTTATTCGCCATTAAGCTGAGGACTCAACACTTAACACATAAATATCTTTTAAAGAATAAAAATAAAACTCCCAATCAAGATAAAATCATTGTCACAAGACAGAGAAAGAGGGATCCGGATGCTCAGGAAGCAGGGGGAGCAGGGATTACCCCTTAATTCATCACTCACCTCCACTGTGATGCTCCCCCATTGGGGACCCAAACCATCTGGCAGAGCCAGGTCTCCAGGCCCTTACAGAAGGTCAGATGGGTGGAAGCCAAGATGTTCCAAAGGGCAGGAGCCAGGGCAGAGAAGGCCCTTCTCCTGGACCATCCCAGCCGTAATTTGTTGCTACATAGAGCGATTATAAATGGTACCGTAAAACTGAGGATGTATTCTATCGAAAACTATGCAACTCTTGTCTTGTGAATCAGCCACATCCTCTCATCTGATCTTTTTCTGTAATACTGCACATATTCAGCAAACTCAAGACTCTTGCTTGTATTCTTGAGATCCAGATTTCATCCATCACTTATTTACTAACTTACCTGCCTTAGAATTAACCGCAAGTCTCAAAACCTCACAGAAAACCTCCCGCTCAGCAGTTTTTTCCGTTCCTTTTTGAAAAACCGCATCCCGTTGCTGAAAGGAAAATGATATATTAAATCATCTCCAAAAGAGTTTTCCTATGATTTGTGAACACAGCCCATAATTTAGAAATGTCCCTATTTCCTCTGCTCTGTATCAGCTCCTCTGTTCTTTCTATAGAATGAAATATCATCACCTCTTTGTCTTTCTGAGACCCATCTTCACATACAGAAATTGCTTGTTCCTCGACGTTGGGCTTCACTGTCCCATTTGTCTGTAAAATAAAAAACACCACGTGCTCCTTCTTCCCAGTGCGCTCCTCTTCTACATTTTGTTCAAGGATCTCCAGGGACACTTCACAATCAAAGAAATCTCTGGCTACTGCTTCAATAATTCCTATGTAAGAAAAAAAATTAACAACCTATTTTAGGGCAATATGTGAAACCCTTCCAAAGTGGCTCAGCTCTTAAGAAACTTCATGAAAGTTTCTTATCCCTTTCTCTCAGTAGCAGCCACATAGCTTTTAAAAGCTTTTCAGGTTTAGAGCAATTTTCTCCCCCATCACTGTTCTTCCAAAGTTCTTTTTCATTGCTCAAGAAAATTATTCAAACCTCTTAACAAGCTTTGCAGTGAAGTCCAAAAACACAAGAAAGAAATAGGAATCTTTCTTAGGATTCAGGGAGGATTTCTAGCAGGATGAGATAGAATTTAACTAATTGGAAACCCAGCATATAATAGTTTTAATTATAACACACACACACACAAACAAACTAATCATTCTAGGGCAGACATGTCAAACTCACGACATCACATGACGTCATGCAATGTATCGGGACTGTTTTGCCATTGCCGGCAATGGGGTGGGCATAGTTTCCGTGTGACGCATCCGGCCCGTGGGCCGGCAGTTTGACACCCCTGTTCTAGAGCTTTTTTCTTAGACCTAGTACCAAGGTTGCTGATCAAACAATTGGTTGCAGGTGACTTAATCTGATTTCAGCTTTGCTTTGTAAATATCTGAACATCCCACTCTCCATCTGACTTCCCTCCCTCCAATTAGTATCATTGCAAATGAGAAGCTGGCAAACTATAAAGTAGAACACAACCCTTAGCCTTATCCAAAGACCTTATTGGAAAATAAAAATAGTAGATGACTTGACTCAAGTGCTTTGTCGGGAAGCACGTATTCCTGTTTAATAAAAAGAAAAGATAAGATAAGTGAAACTGAAGCTGAAGCTGGCTGAAATTCTCCCTACTTCTTCCAAATGTGTTCATTGGTCCAAAGATTTGGAGATTTCTGGCGCAGACTATTGTTTATCTTTCTCCAATTTGGTGTCATCCAGATGTGTTATATAATCTACGTAACTTCCATTCCAATCTGTTCTGGTCTTTGATGATGGCCTTTGTGATCCAACACATTCCAAGACCTCTCCCTTCTTAAATATCTCAGCAGCTTTCTTCTCTGCAAGTCAAGGTCATCTCAAGCTTTCTAAAGTGCTCCTTTCTCTCTTCTAGGCAACAGTTGGGCAGATACTTCGCCTTTGTTACTTCATTTTAACTGTGTGCCCTAAGACAGACAAATGTATCATCCTCTAAAAAGTATCTATTAGAATGAATAATTATGAATGATCACATTTACACCAAATTATATTCTAAAACATTTAAAAAATTGATGGCACAAATAGGGGGCCCTTTATGCAAAGGCATAAGACTTGGAATAAAGGGGAGGGGTGGAACAACTATGTCAAGGTCACGGAGGTTATTGAGCTAAGTAAAGAAATCCCATCCAACCCACCCACCCTGGCCCAAGTAGTCAATTCCAGTGCTCAGTATACTTATGGAAAGGTTCCCACTCAGTTTGAGAGTTGTATAATATACATTCCATTGTGAAAATGGTGCCTTGGTACCTGGGACAATGTGACACAAGCCTTTCCTGTCTGAGTAATAGTGGAGGAGCATTATCCCATCTTTCCTTTCCACTCGAAATGATGGTGCATTCATTTTCTAGGAAAGGACAAAAATCTGTTTCATTTTCTTCCAAAACTCCTTAGAGCCTATTCTAATACCCACCCGCATTAAAAATTCAATTTTATCTTTGCTGCACAATTTTCTTTCCATTCAGTATATATAATCCAAAGGCCAACGTAGAGGAATAGCAAAGGAAGGGATGCAAATTGCAGAATGACAAAGGCATGGGGAATGATTTTCTGTTGGTGAATAACAACTTGACAATTTGTATCTGAGATTTGTTCATAGTACTGGAAACATTGGAGAATGTCTCATATTTCAGTAACAGAATCAAACTCTGATTCATAACTGTTTGGACCTGTTCGTGTTATATGCCATTTTATTCCAATTTTCTTTTCACAATGAGTTATACACAAAAAGCTCTCTCCTTCTGTTCATTTTCTCATACTTTTTCTTAAATACGCCCACTGCTGAGGCATAGTAGTGCCTGTAAAAATTATTTGTCACAGTTGAGAATGACTATGACATGAATTGAAAGGTAATTAATTTCTATTTTAAAATAATTCAGTGGCAGAAAGAAACATTTTTCATGTAATTCCCTTGGCTACAATTGCTTCATTTCAGTATTAATGCAAGACACATACAATTATAATGAAAACAGTAACTCAGCCTTCCTCTGATTATAATTCCCCAAATTCCTAGAAAACATGCACGGCCCACTGGGAATTCTGAGTGTTTTAGTCTAGGCATTATATTTCATGTCCTACAGGTAGCTCTATGAAGGCAGAGTAAGCTTATTGCAATAAGAAAGAGGATAGGTTACAAAATTTTGGAAAATAGACATGTGTATCTTTTCAGTGAGTTTATTATAGCAGGACCAACCTATCACCTTTGAACTTTTAACTGAGTTTTGGTTTAATGGGGAAGCTGCTACTCACTTGTTTGGTATCACAAAACTGTTTTTCTGTTCTTGTTCTACAATAGTTTGAAACTGTCTATTCTGTCACACCAAAATACAAAAAACAGGTACCTGATAGGACAAAGCAAGGTAGCTGTGTAAGGAATCCAGATTCTCAATAAACTCCATCAAATTTCCTCCTAGTGTCCGTAACATTTTATCATATCCTGATGTTTTGCAGAAATTAAAAAAATATTGCCCAAAAAGCTTCAGCACTGCCTCCTCTGGCATTTCTGCATGGGAAAAAAAGCAGATTCTAGAATAATGGCATATATATAATGGCACAGCAGAAAGTATGTTCCTTTTCTCACGAAGCTGCTTTGCTTTCTCTTTCCATGATACCATCCTTGGTAGTACCACAACTTCAAGACTTCATTCAGTTCCTCCATTCATTAATATAATCTGCGACACAAGTGCCTGACTAGCCTAAGAAGTGATTCACATTTACAATTTGATTCAAGGGCTCTTAAGAGTTGACTAAGGACTTCTTTTCTTTTTTGAAGCCTTATTCTAATCCAGGGGTAGGCAACCTTGGCTCTTTTATGACTTATGGACTTCAACTCCCAGAATTCCTGAGCTAGCATCTAGTCTGATAATGGATCCAAACTGAGTTAAAGTCTCCAGCAACTATTAACTTGATTCAAGGAGAGAAGTCACATAATGTAAAAAGTCTATCTGTTCAGCAAAATATATGTGCATACGTGCACAATGTCCACTGATTCTTGGAATGATTTCAGAGATTCAATTTGATAAAATCATCTTTGAATTTAATAGTGGCATTGAAACTTTACATAACCTGGTAGGCAGCTCTATTAAGACAATTGTGATGGCACAGCTGGGCACAAAACAAAAATAAATAATCCAGGAACTTTTCATGTGTTAATCGACATAACAACCAAATATTACAATTAGTAAACCAAGTGCAACCCATAGTTTCAAATTGCAAGATAGTACTTGAAAACAAATCATAGTTTATCTGCTAGTCCTTTTCTTATATGTTACTAATATGAAAAGGAAGAATTACACATTACAATTTAGTGTAATATGAGAGCAGCACAGACTGCAATCATTTAAACTCCTTTAAATTAATTTGTTTAATAGTATTGAACTCAGACAATTAATTTTGTGGAAACAAAGGACTGAACTGCAGGATTCTTGAGATTTAAAATGATGCCATGACGGAACAGAAATATACTGTAGGAAACAATTCAGCTCAAAATGAATCAAATTAAACAGAAGAGAAAATATTTTAAAATGTAGTTAAAATATAAAATGAAAAAGGATTTTTTAAAAAATGAAAATAATTACTAAAACCTGTAAGAAAGGAAATAAATATCTTTGTTATAGTCAATGACCAGAACTATATGCAATTATATAAGGTAATTAGAATAAAATGAATTAAACTGTAGAAATAAAATAAGGCATTACGTGAAATCTAAAAGACACAAAACTAATTTTCTAGGTTGCTAGAGCTGTTAGACAAATGATTACAAATGTGTTAAAATACAAAATAAAGCAGTATAAAATACTTTAATTCTAATCCAATCATTATTAAGTTTTAAGAGATAATTGTAGGAAGATGTGCAAGTAGATGTATAAATTTATCTGGGATCGCTTAACATTATACAGCCTTAAAATGATGATAGCTTCAGAATTCTTCCTATCACATCCATAAGCGGGAATAACACTATTTCTTGGCAAACAGTAAATTAAAACTTGTAATTATTTCAGTACTTAGCATGTTGCAGGCTTCTTGGACCAACTTCACAGTCAAAGAATCATCATACACCGTATATGTCATAAAGGTGTCTTCAATTCCAACCTGGGCTCTGTGAAAATACCAAAGAGAAGATCGAATATAAAATGAATAAGGAACACAATTTGCCACCTGGTTTGTGCCATTTGGCTAAAGCAGGGGTAGTCAACCTTGGCTCTTTTATGACTCGTGGACTTCAACTCCCAGAATTCCTGAGCTGGCTCAGGAATTCTGGGAGTTGAAGTCCACGAGTCATAAAAGAGCCAAGGTTGACTACCCCTGGGCTAAAGCAAAACATTTTACAGATATTTAGAGTGCAAGATTCCATTGACTCCAAATAGTTTACTCAATTAACTGGGTAGAGATGTCTGAATGCCATTTTTTTTAAAAGTTAAACGCCTTAGCCAAAAGCAATGTTATGGCCTGCTACATTTTGGAATCTAGTGGGGCAATTACAAAGTCAGTTTATACATTAACATCAAAGAGACTTGTAGCAATACATAATAAATGGGTTGTGGCAGAAATGAATGTGGATTGTACCCTGCTCTTAACCCGAAGCACAGACTCTTGTCCTGAATGCACCCAACCCATTCTCTGGAATACAGGTACTGTATCTCCTTGGTTCCATGTTCTTGCTTTTCTAGTGATAAGGCTGTGGGGGTATAAATATTTACTTGAGCTTTTCCCATGTTTCTTCACCAAATTTCTCTACCAGGAGGGACTTCAGGCAGGAGTTAATAAACCCATACTAGAGAGAGAGAAAGAAAAAAAAAGGAAAGGGCAGAGAAATTCTCATGAATGTCCTGTATAAACATAACATTGCATATGCTTACTTTCCACCAAGCTGTGTTATTTTATGTGGAGTACTAATATTATGTGAGAAGGAGCTTCCTTCTGACCATTCCCCCCCCCCCAGTTACTTAATTTTATAAAGTATCCTGCTATCCTTGCAGCCATGTGCCATTACCCAAAGAGAAGACTTGGAAAGAAGACTTACCATGGCACTGTTATGTCACATTAGGCAGGACTGTTCTTCTTGGTGCAGGTGACTTACTCCTTATAAGAGTTTGAGGACTCAGTATTTAAATATCGGGTGAATGTAGAGAGGAGGGTCCATAGGGAAGGCTGTGTTGACTTCTGCCTGTTAAATTTCAGTAGAGACTTTGAATGGCCATGGTTGGGGAAACTGAGCGAATCGAATTCCCATGAGTATTGAAGCATATTTTGAAATCAAAATATGTTTACTTGTTTAGCTTTGCTGTTCTTGTTACGATAATTCAGCACAGAAATCACGGAACATTTCTTAAAAACCAGATTTCCAGAAAACATTGCAGACTACAGGAACCTTTTGTGCTTCAATATGAGATGCAGATAAAACAGAGTCATCCCCAACAGCCCGTGCTTGTCTTCAACAGTGAAGGGTCACAGGGCAGAAAACATCCTGCAGCCTAGAACGCTCTACGCACATTTGTACTACTCAGGTGACTTTGAGGACACAGGTAAACCTCCAAATGGCTTCAATGACTCTCTAAAAGAATGCAAATGACCAGCTATCTACAAGGAATATATATCCTCCCATTCCCCACCATCCAGTCAGAGCTGAAGAAGCTTCTTGGATGAGAAGAGAAATGTCTTCAAAGAAAAACAAGGAAGTCCAGTTGCTTCCTGAAAAAGCACCTTTGGAACAACCATGACCCAAATGAGTGAGAACCTCCATAGACATTTGTTAATAACAGAGTGAAATTGTGCAAGAAATACTAATGGATAAAATGTTGTGTCTGCTGTTGTAAAATTAACATGCACATTTTAACTTCTCTGGAGTCAACTTAAGCTTTCCTTTCTGCTCATTCACCCTGGTGGTCTTTCTCTCAGGCGTCCTATAGTCCAGTCCCAGAGAGTGTGCTGCAGCAAAGGACAACATAGTTCTTCACACTGAAGCCATCTGGACTGGTATTTTAGTGGTGTGGCATTCTTCATCATAACTGGGGGACACAGCTTGGGGACACAACACAGTCATAATTCTGACCTCTTGGTCTCTGATGATCTGACCAATCCTATTTTCCCCCCTCTGTCAATCTTTTTCCTTTGTGTTTTCCTACCTTTCCTTGTGTGTTCTCTTTCAGAAAATGGCAAGCTGAAAGAACCATTTTATTTACTGCCTCTTTTCCATATCAAAACAATGGATGGAAACCACTCAAGGAGAGAAGCAACCTGGAATTAAGGAGAAACTTTCTAACAGTGAGGACAATTAACCAGTGGAACAGCTTGCCTTCAGACCTTGTGGGTGCTTCATCATTGGGGGTTTTCAAGAAGAGACTGGACAGCCACTTGTCTGAAATGGTATACAGTCTCCTGATTGAGCAGGGGGTTGGACTAGAAGACCTCCAGGGTCCCTTCTAGCTCTATTCTGTTCTAGAGTTCTCAGCAAATTCTAGGGCACGCCTTCAAAGCTACCATCAGATTTCCTATCTTTTCAGTCATTCACTGCCCCAGGCTTTGAGAGAAGTTGAAGAATAGAAGTTATGGTCCTCCTTATCACTTGCCAAGCTATTCCCCACCCGCAAAAAGCTGGTATGCTATGCAAAGCAAAACATCCATCTCCAGTATAATTGTCATTTTCAATAGACAGTTTTAACCTTACATCTGGACCCTGCATGGAACAGATCAGCCAGATGGCTGCAGGCTGGTGTTTCAGAATGATACTCACCAGTTCAGAGAAAGGGAAAAGTTAAGCAGGAGCAGCACGGAACATCTTGCAGGAATGGGGAACAGGCCAGAGAGGTGATAGGGAGCATTCTGATATCTCGGTGCCGATACTGATTCTGTCTGCCTTTGGAGAGATTATGTGGATGAAAAAGTCCCCCACCCCCAAACATTTTGTAAGAGCACTCACAATAGGTTTGGAAATTCCCAGGACTGTTCAGCAGTTCAAAAAGCTTGGCAACTTGAACTTGATGACATAAAGCAAATTATTTGGGGGATTCATGAGGGTCAATTTGCACAACCCAGAAATTGAAGGAGATAAAATAAGTATGCTGTACTTAATTGTTTATTTCTAGTTTGTTTTCTTTCAAGGAGGTGAAAGCTATGGCACTTTAAATCCCTCTCAGGTCATTTTTTTTTCCTTGAAATCAAATTATCGATCATCTTTGGGGAAATCTATATAAGGCTTTGTTCCTACAGTAAATGGGACATCTGGGTATAGCTTCTACAAAACACTGGGGATCAGTGCTGATCTTAATATTAATAGTGTTGTTGGTGTGTGTGTGTAAGAGAGAGAGAGAGAGGGAGGGAGGGAGGGAGGGAGGGAGGGAGGGAGAGAGGGAGAGAGAGAGAGAGAGAGAGAGAGAGAGAGAGATTGTATCACTCAGCAACTGCAGTTTTCCTGACATGATCATTTGTAAGAGCATGAAATTTAAGCTTAGTACAAGTTTTACAAGATAAAAAACAAACTAACAAACCAACTACAATATTATTTGGCTATAGCCATAATCCACTTAGATTAGAGTCTTCTAACTACTGGGCATCAGCAGTTACATCATCAACTAGTTTTTAAATCTACCTCCATTTTAAAAACAGCAGCAGGTAGGCAAGAAAAAAAATTCTAGAACCCTTTGATTGGATAATGGCCTATTTAATGTTTTTTATATCTTAATGTAGTGGGGACATTACGACTGGATTCTCAGGAACAAACGAAGGTCCCATAGAGCACAGGAATATGGGTCCCCAAAATCCAGCAGATTGGTTATTTTGGGGGGGGGGTAGAACCTTGAATGCAATACATTTAAGCTCTGATAATAGTTAAAGAAAATGCTATAATGAAATGCCAGTGCCATTTTAATAGTAGGAGGAAAGAAAGCATATAAAAAAAGAGTAGAGAGCTAAAGGTTCAGAATGGTGGCAGGCACTGAGAACAGAGGTAAAGAAAGTCTCCCAATATCCCTTCAGCACCAATCCTGCTGGCTTTTAGGAACATGCTCAAGATCTGGTTCTTCTCACACACTCTGGACTAGGAAGGGATACCACTGAAGTAATCAGTGGGTATGTGTAGTGCCTAGGACTGATTTTCCTCCTCAGCCTGGTCAGATTTTTAATGCAATGTGTGCTTTTATTGCTTTTTACCCTGTAAATTAAGAGAATCATTTGGTAAGTGAGCAGATTTCAGAAATCTGCTACATACCTTTTTTCCCTCCAGAACCTCAACAGTTTTCACAACAGCCCACCTCACTGTGTGTTTTTCACTCCATATATTGCCTTCTGGCTTCTGGGGAAGATGAAAAAGTAACCTGTGAGTATTTTAAAAGTGGAGGTGGGTACAAAAATCATGTTTTTCTTTGGTTTCTGTTTCCTGCCCTCCAAATATAACGAATGCTGTGGCTTTTAGGTATTCTCCTTGAGACAAGAGCAGGGCATCCAGATTATAAATGAGGGCAGTTGTTTAAAATTGTATGTTAAAATAGTCAGGCTTTATTTATTTAGAAGAATCACATTTTTTTTTTCATTAGAAACACACATCTGGATGCACATTCCTACATTGCAGTGTTAACCTGAATCCAGCCTAACAAACAAAGAACATTTTTAAAAATTAATGTAGAAATTACATTCACCAAAACTGCATAGCATAGAGGTGTTTATAATCTAACTTTTCACAGAATAACAGAAAACGTCCCCAAGTGATCATGGCATTCATGCTACCATTTTCTATATGGTATGGATAATCAACATTAGATATGCTGTGGGGAGGGAGGGAGGACTGAATGAGGTAATTTTCAGTGTACACAATGTTGCAGCTTACCTAGTCACTGAATGAACATATTTTCTGAGTTCACACAATACACCAAATTATAAACTAATCAAACAGATTGAACAACACGCTGTGCCATCAGCTTTAACCTAGCTAAGCTTACCAACTAGCTTAAATACATTGACAAGGCTTTAGTTAAGTGTGTTATGTCCACATAACTACAAAGTGATCCTAATGTTAGGCAGAATGTAAAGTCAAGTCTGGTCAGCTGTATACATCGAATAACTGCAATTGCTAACTTATTGCATAATAATATCCCGACCACCTGCTTCTGAAGAAAGACTCTCGGTCTGCCTACGCAGACAGTAAGGATTTTCATGTCAGTGCTGTTCTTTGAGGCCCGTTTTGGGTTTAAATTTCATTGTGTTAAATGCTCCCTCCACAGCTTTAGGTAGATACATTGGATATCTTTGCAGTTTCTTTCTGGAACTGAATGTTCTTCCTTGGCTTTTTCCTTTGGATTGGCTTGTGATCACTTCTACTTGGCTGGTATCTTGGGAATATATCCGAGGGGCACGAAGGATCCAGTTGGAATGCAGGCTATGTTCCCTTGAACTAGAAACAACTGAAACATAGAACCAGACTTAGTATAAATGTATCTTTACAACAAGGATGAGGGTACAGAATAGGTAGGTACTGCTTAGGTTCTGCACACAGAAGGCTCCAAGTTCAGTCTCCAGTATTTTTGGAAAGAGATTTAAGAAATCTGCTGCTAATAAAACATGGCTAGAAGGATCAAAGGTCTGACTCAAGAGAAAACTGCTTTTCATTTTTCTGAACTAGGGATAGGCTAACTAGGTCAGGATCCAACTCCCTCACTATGCTCTAGGTCCCCCAAAGCACTCCAAGATTGGGTCACCGAAATTTAGTGTTAATATGACTGAATGACTGTTTGTTAAGATGTCAAATTAAGAGTAGAAATGAGTATGCCCAACTTCAGTGAGGAAAAAAAAAACATTTCCACCTTTAAACCATTTGCAGCTTCCAAATCCATAGTATTGTAGGTACTTTATGAAACTATTTTCTGGGGTGTTTATATAATCTAGTCACCCAACATAACTATTTTCACTATTAATTTCTAGTTCAAGTTCTAGCTAAATTCACACAGATAATTTTTGATGCTAATAATGTTTGCTATCAAACATTTTAACTAATTATTTAAATTGGTACATGACAAACATGCAGTATACAGGACCGATACTGTATCTGATATTATGAATAGGGGAAAATTAGATGGGGGACAATTCATAAAGTAGATTTATGAGGGATGAAGTGATAGAAGCCACAGATAAATAAATCTGAAGCCCTGTGGACTAAAAAAAAGCAAAGGATCACATAGGCAGACCTAGACCTTGAATAGACAATACTAGTTTTTTTATGGGTTATTCCAAGTGGAATAGTCTCCCTTTGCTCAGCATTAAAGTGCTGGGATGGGACAGCACCTATTTAATTATTCTCCTTTATGCGTCTAAAGTTATCCTAAAATTCCTTATGCATTCAAAAACCAAGAATCTGGAACAGGGTTGCAGGGAGAAGGAGGAGGAGGAGGAGGAGGAGGAAAAGATGCAGTATTCCAAAAATAGCTAGCCAAATACTGTAAAATCAATAGGTAACAGACATGTCATACTAATTATTTATTAGGTCAATCAGTATATTATCCATCAATCTTCCAAGCAAAAATATGGAAACCCATTCCTGAATGTCTTTGTTTGGAAGAACAGCGGAGATGGAATATTGTCCAGCAAAAATATATATATACTACCTTTTGGGAAAACTTTGATGTATCTATTATTTGCTCTCACAATTACGTGTTGTGTTTTAAATGAATTTAGGATGATGTACCAGCTGAGGCCTTTTCTGGTCTGAATAATCCCGATAGCATTCTCATCACTACACATTATAAGTTACTTCAGGCTGCCCCTGAAGAAAACCCCCAAACTGTTGCTAGTACAAATGTAACAGGCAAGGGTATCAGTGGGTGAGAACTATTATGGTCATTTAACACTTTGGAAATTCAAATCTGATGGACGCTATTTTGCACATGCAAATATTATTAATACTATTGGCATATATATATGTACTTACTATCAAAATCTACATCAACATGTGGATGATTCCTCACAACTTTGTGATGTCTTTCTGCCTCCAGTTTTGCAATAATTGAATCAAAATAAGTGATTGCTTCAGTTACATCTGAACTGAGTTGCGAGCCTTTTCTGTCCACTGAGATCTGTTGTGAGAATGATTTAATTAGAATAAACAAACCTTATGATTGCAACCTCCCCCCTCCAACTTTCAAGGATACAAAATGTAGACATTCAGAAAACAAACCAATAAGATGCTAAGAATCTTTTTTGCTAATTTATCTTGGGTTCCATTTAAATTACCATAAATGCCGGCGTATAAGGCGACTTCCGCGAGCGCTGAAATCGGCGCCAAAGACGGGGGTCGTCTTATACGCCGAGTTGTCTTATACGCCGGAAATACTGGTAACTATTATGCTGCTTTTTAAAATATATGTGGATTATTTTTAGTGTTGTATGCCTCTGGGTGTGTGCATATATAGGTAGGTATGCAAAAAAAAAGTCATTTTCCAGGTGTGTGTGTGTGTGTGTGTGTGTGTGTGTGTGTGTGTTCCAAATAATAATATAAAACTAATCTTGATGCAATCATTATTGGCCTTATGATTCTTTTGGATCAAGCTGGTCTCAACTTATAACAAACAGGAAAAAGCAAGCAAATGAGAAAAACAGTTCACTAAAAACATTCAGAAGAAACTCCAGGAAGCCAAATTTGATCAAAATAATGTTGAATCTTGGCTTTCCTTTTACTGAAGTAGGCCTTCATATATTTTGAAATTCTACTCCATGAGCCACAGTTAGCAAAGCAAGAAATGAAGAAAGCTATTCTTCAGAATATATGGGGAAAAAATAGGTTGCCTATTCCTAAGTCTTTTTTTATTCTGTGTCACAAAAGCTCTATTCATTAGCTCTCTCACTTGAACCATTTGGAGTCTTTAAAGAATTCTAATGTCACTTGATATCAAGGTATCTCCCTTATTGCCAGAAATTAAAATCTTAGCATCTCTGTTACAGGGAATGGATGCTGGTAAAGTTGTAATACAGGTCTGGAGAGAATTACTGAATGACCAGTAACATCTTCAGGGTGATACATCCCCCCCACTTTTGCTAGCACTTTAAATTGTCATTCATATTAGCATAACAAAAGTTGTGGGCTAGTAAACAATACATTTATTTACATTATTTATTTTTTTTAAGTAGAATCTGACTAATTGTGGTGAGCAGTTATCACGGCCATAAATAGACATGTGGCTTAATGCATAGAAGACAAATGTTTGCAGAAAAAGTGTCAACCCTCTGTTTATTAAAAGAGAATGACATAAACATTCATCGAAAGGAAACAAAATCCTCTTGTCCCTTCCCAAAGGTTGAAGCTTGAGCTTCAGTTTCTTGAAATTAGAACCCTCCAGTCATGGCTTTAGCCACTAGGAGGTCTTCGTTTTCAAACTGCTCATAGTTTGTGTGTGTCTGTGTGTGTGTGTGTGTTTTAATTGCTTTATTTTTCTGGTGTGAGAAGCAATTCTATCCCAATCGGTGATAGCTTTTAAGCTTGTTTATGGTTGGTGAAAATGCACAAAGCCTGAAAAATAAATGTCCTTACTCTGAATACTGTATCTGAACAGGCTATGTGAGTATAATTGACTATATAGAATCCAACTCTATAGATTACTGTATTACAAAACATAAACTCATCACATTCCCACACTCATAGTTCATCTCCTCATATCCTCTCAATTTTATTTCATTCTTATTTCAATTCTCCAAAGACAGGGGTTGCAACATATCCTATTATGAAAATGGGAGTAACATATCCTACCTTAGAAGTCTGTTTGGGAGGAGGAGGGGCTTGGATTTTTGTTGTTGTTGCTGGAGATTTTGTAGGCAAAGGGGAAATTCCAGGCACTCTGCCCAAGGCTTTCAAATCCTTGATACCCTCAATGTATTTTTTCCTCAGAGCTAATAAATCTTGTAAGTATTGCAAACAGTCTTGTGTCTTTGAGTACATCCATGCCTTTTCTTCTTTCAGCTGAAGGCAGGCAACTGAATTAAGGCTGGTGGTACTTTTGCTTTTTTTCAGAGGTTCAGTGAATGTATGATCCTCATCTCTGAGAGCGTACATAGAGGTGCTACGGAGCAAACGAACCGCAGAACCATCACAAGCTGGGATCCCATCAGATAAACTACTCCTGCTGGAGTTGGGATTAAATATGGAGTGTATTTTCCTGAACATAGCGTAGATCCTTCTTCAACTATTCCATCTAACATTAAATCTCTTTCCAGATTGTCTTCTAATGGACATTTCTTGCCAATACAGAAAAAGATTGCATGTGTTGATTATGAATGTGATCAGGCTTTCTCCAGCTTCAGACTTCTTTTGGCCCATCTCTTCATTTCTTTTCCAAACTTTGTCAAAGATGAAGAAACACAATCTTTTCTTTATCATGTCTGCACATGGGTTCACCTCCTAAAGGTTGCAGTAGCTCTTATTTGCTTCCTCATGCTGACCATGGTGCTGAAATAGTCTTGTAAAGAATAACAGCTTTAAAAAAAAAGTTGCAAAAAGTTAATGAAAAATATTTAGTGCTTCTGAATATATCAGAAGGCTACATAAAAGATGCTAACACACCAGCATCCCCTGCATTTCTAATCAATAGTAGATAAATATCCTGCAGAAGCAGGCAGGTAGAAGGGATTTTGTTTTCTCTGCTATGGCAACCGAAGCATGGTTACTGCTATCTGATAACACACAGAGTGTTGAGAATAAAGCAGGCTAAGATCCATTACACTAAGCATGGAAGACTGGCCTTCAAATAAAATCGAGTTCCAAACACATCTAATAATCTGAGCTGATTATTGTTGATGACTATAGGCTCTACTTGATAGAATCTAGTGCTATACTTGATAGAATTAATGTCTATGGAGATTCTCAGTCATTCAGGTCATGGATGTCCCAAAGGTGCTTTTTCAGAAGGCAACTGGACTTTCTTGTTTTTTCTTTGAAAACATTTTGCTTCTCACCCAAGAAACTTCTTCAGCTCTGACTGGATGGTGGGGAATGGAAGGATTATATTCCTTGCAAACATCTGGTCATTTGCATTCTTTTAGAGCACGGGTGTCAAATTCGCCACGTCACGTGACATGTTGCTACATATCATGACTTTTTTTGCATTGCCAGAGCTGGGGTGGGCACGGCCTCCATATGATGCAACCGGCCCACGGGCTGGCAGTTTGAAACCCCTGTTTTAGAGAGTCTTTGGGGCCATTTGGAAGTTTATCACCTGAGCAGTGCAAATGTGTGTGGAGTGCTTCAGTTTGAGATGCAGACAGCACAGACTCATCCCCAACAGCCTGCACCTGTCTCAATAGTGGAAAGATGTGGTACTCATCCTTCCATCATCTTCTGCCTCCAAAACCCATCTGAACTGCAGCCTAGAGGATGCCGGCAAAGAAGAGAAGAGCCAGGTGGAAAGAGGTGAAAACCTGCAGGATTGCTTACCAAAAATCTGTCCCACTGTTCCTCAAACTTAACCATTTTAAGATGTGTGGACTTCAGCTCCCAGAATTCCCTAGCCAGCGTGCTGCCTGGGGAATCCTGTGTGTTAAGTCCATATGTCTTAAAGTTATCAAATTTGAGAAACACTGATCTATTCATAAATATATACAGTATTACACCACCATACGGTATCATAAACTGCTTTACTGTTGAGGCTGTTGCTGGAAGATCAAAAGCAACATCATTTCTACTTGGCATCTCCATGTGTTGCTTAAAATTGGTGCATACTATGTGTGGAAAAATTCTGACTTCCTCTGCTTTGAGTTCTAACTGTTCTGAAAGCACAGCTGGTGCCATCTTGTGGTGTTTTAAAGAAGTTTTAGCAAAGGTTTGATTTATATGACACATCCATTATTAATACACATGCTTAGAAAGAGATGTAATATCTTAGTTGTGTGGTTTAGTGTTTTTTTTTAAATTCCAAATTATTAGTTTGAATATTTTAATTTTTTCCACTTTGAATGTTGGAAGTTCAAAAACTAACATTGCTTCAATTGTGGTTTTATTGTAAAGCTGTCAGATTAGCAACCCATAGGTTTTGAGTACTGTTGTTCTTTGCTTTGTATAAATAAATCCCAGATGATTTAGGTCTGTAGACAGGCATTCCATAGTTATCTAGGACTATGGTTGCGTACAAATTCTATGTTGGACCAAGTGCCCCAGAAATTCATGAAAGCTGACTTTTCTCTGGGAATCGCACACATCCACAATTAATCCAGCTCAATTTACCTCTGTGTACCTGGTGGTTCTCTGTGCTACAGTGAGCAGACATCAAAAGCCTGTGCTTTAATTAGAACAGGATTAATTCAAGCTGACTGCCTCTCTGTGTGCAAATAGGGCCTTAGGGGTCAGAAAGTACTAAGTACTTTAAATGTCTCCTTGCATAATGTTAAAAGCTACCAGAGATGGATGACCTTTGTGTAAGCAAACGAATTAAGGGGCAATTGTGAAGTCATTCAGTACCACTGAACTTAATCACTCTAGCTATGCAGAACAATCATTGCTAATTATAACTTTGTGGTATAGTGGTGCCAGAGCCAGGCTGCTCCTGAAGAATTTTCTATTTGGTGAGCTCAGAATTAGACCGAAGGATGACTAGTCTCTGGGTGTAATGTATTAAAAAGGGATTAGGAAAAAAAACCTAATACAAGGCTCATTCAGTCCTTAATGCTCAATGGGTGATTTCAGACCAATCATAATGTCTCAGACAAATCTATTTATCAAGATAGTTGAGGCTCCTGGAAGAAAGTGGCATATAAATGTAAGAAATTACAGGACAATTGTAATCTCAGTTGCATGGATTCCTTCGGGCATGCAACTTTTCAAGGAATATTGGGAACATTTGGTTTTTGATGGAAGCTGTACTCTACTCCAAAAATTAAGAAGAAGCTTGGACAGAAGCTCAATTCCATTCCATTCCATTCAAGTGAAGCTTGAATTAAAATTATAACTTTTTAATAGAATATTGCTCTCACATTTCAGGAGAAAATGCTTTCATTTTAAATGGGAAGTGACTGTGCCCACAAACTGCTGGCATAACACTCACCTTCAGTGCATGAGTTGGTTGTCTGTCACTGGGCACTTCCGCTTTCTGATCTGGAATCATCTGGCACATTCATCCTGTAGCCTAGTTTTCACATAGTACAAAGGGCATACTAGTATAGAGAAACAGGTAAGGCATCAGAAGTAACTTCCTGACTGCCAGCCAGTAGTGTAGGCTACCATGTGAAGTGGTGATTTCTCCTTCACTGAAGTACTTCAGATAAAAGCTAGATAATCATCTGTCAGAGATGCTCTATGGCTCCTGCAGAGCAAAAGATTGGAGTAGATTACTTCTAAAATCCCTTTCAGATCAATGAGTCTATTGATATTGTTACCAACTACTTTTAGTCCAGCTTGCATTTCTATTTTTTGGAAGGCATACAATGAGACCAGTGTTGGGTAACAATTTAAGATTATATCAAATCTGTAAGATTATTAAGAGCTACAACAACAAAAAAGGAAATTTTAGAGATTTTTAATATTGATTTCATTGAAAATTACAAGTGCAAAGATAAAAACCAATAGAAAACTATGTAAAAAAGAATAGAAATAGGTGCACATTTAAAAAAGAAAGAAAAATAGAAAATAAAAAAATATACTAAAGAAAGTATAAACAATTTTAGTAATTTATCACTTCTCTTAAAATAAAACAAATGAACTTTCCGGCCCATTTTCATTCTCTTATCTATAAACCAATCCTTAAAGCTTCATCATTTTAGTCCTGATCAGCAAAAGTCTATTAAGAGTTACCAGAGATAACAATGTATCTATTTTAACTTTAACCAAGTAAGCCAACTTTATATTCTTACTTTTACGTATCTTGATTGTTAGTCCCTTCAAACAATGTCCTGGAACTCGATTTCTTTTTATTTTTTCTTTGTCCCATCTCATAAATTTCTTCAAAGTTTAAACAACCCTCTTTGAAATCCAATATAGGAAAATTATCCAGGTTACTCTCTTGGGTTATTTCTATATCATTTTTAATTTCTAAACATCAGCTGGTTTCTTTTGTATGTTCAGGATAGCATCTTTTTTGAGATATCATTCCTGTAGCCTGTCATTTTTAAATCCACTTTAAGATTAATCTCAAGTTTGACAGGTAAAATTTGTTTCTCTCCCATAACATTTTAAACACAGCCTAATTATAGAAACAGACACTCTTAACTTCTCAGTCCACCATTAAAAAATCCTTCAGTATTTTGAGTCATTCTATATTAGTAAATGTTTAAAGGTTCTGCTTCAATTATACTTTTTAGTTTTCTTCTGTTCCCTCTAGTGTCAAAGTCTCAACTTTCAAAGTCTCATCCGATCATATTTCTTCAGTTCAAAACTTTTCCCATAGGAAGGATTCTTATAATTAATTCCAAACTCTTATTTCAAATCATCTTAATCCATTTTTAACTTTCCAAAATCAAAATTCCAATTACCCTTTTGTTGTTTATTAATATATGTTTTTTAAAAATAAAACTTTTGCTAAAAATTGAATTAAACTCACCCAATGTTTTCAGACTTGTTGATCCAAAGTCTTCTAATAGTTAAAAAGCAGTTAACAAACGATTTCCAAAAGTAACTAGAAAAGGAAGCATGTGAACCTAATGTCCTTAAAGCAGAGACCATGATTTAAGCATGATGGGTATTTTTTTTGTCTCCCAGAGCTCTAAATCCATTGGGTTTAGGAGCAACTGTCTGGACCACTTGTGGGTGATAAAAAGTCATCCTTAAGTCAGGTCACCAAACCTTCCTTGTTTGAAAAGGAATTACAATGAGGGGGGTCTATTTGCTGGCTCTTCATTTCCAGGAATCATTGGCTCCACTTTTAAAGAAACTTTGGAAGTGGAAAAAATTTGTTTCTTTTTGGTCAATGGCAAATTATGTAGAATAGCATCAGAGGAAAAATGTCTTGAAAAAGTCTTTCGCTAAGTACTGCTTTACTAACATTTGACCATTTTCCCCATTATAATTTACATCAATCCATACAAATATTGTATATTTCAGACAGAAATATAAAACATGACCATCTAAATTTTATTGATTTTGTTTTGTGATTTTTTTTCTAAGAAAGTGTTTCGATTTGTATCATTTGCACTTTATTTTACAAACTGCAAAAGAAAAGAGCCGAGGTGGTGCAGCAGTTAGAGTGCAGTACTGCAGGCCACTTTAGCTGACTGTGTTCAGCAGATCAGTGGTTCAAATCTCACCGGTTCAAGGTTGACTCAGCCTTCCATCCTTTCGGGGTAGGTAAAATGAGGACCAAGATTGTTGGGGGCAATGTAAATATATATATACATTGCTTACTGGTGTACACCGCTTAGAGAGTGCTTGCACTTAAAGCGGTATATAAGTCTCATAAATAAATAAATAAGAGAAAAAAACACAACAATTCAAAACAATGAAAACAAAACAAGATCACAAGATGCTTAGAAAAATGTAACAGAGGTAGGTCTGTGATATATCATTCCCTACTCACAAGAAGACAGGCTTTTTAAAGTCTTTCAGGTCCAAATTTGTGTTCACTTCCTTTGCCACTGATTTCCAAGAAAGTCAAAGAGTCTGTTTAGTGATTCTTGCTGCTTTAGAATCACAAGAATTCTGGGCACTACGTTGGGAGAGGCTGACTCAGTTCATTAGACTTTCTGAACTGCATCTTTTTACCTCCTTATAGCTAATGCACAGATTTGGGTATTTGATTTCCATCTGAACAGTAATGGCATTTTTCTGCTATTATCCACTATTTGTAGTGTTTCTAATTTTAATTATCCAGCTTTCCACTTTTAAAAGACTAAGGCCACTCTATAAATTTATCCTGTAGTACAATTACAGTAGCTTAATATCAGAGATTTAAGCCAGATCTTATAAACAAATGCCAGGTCTCAGGCATTAGAGAACAAGCTTCTGAGTATACCTTATTTATTTACAGTATTCTCTTCAGATGCTATCTGAATGTTCTGCTGAACTTGTATGCTACCACAATGGGGTTGTGGTTTTTTGTTTTGTTTTTGTTTGTTTTTTTGCCAAAAAGCAACTAAATTTTGAAATGGTGTAGTTAGAACAAGATTACTACATTATTTGACTTCAGACAAAGCCATGGGACAATTCTTAAAAGTTGGTAGAGGAAGAAAAGAATTGGGTCCCTTCGTTCTTCCAATTCTTCTCTACACTACTATTCTCCAAACCTGTCAGTGTACTGGAACACCTTGATGTCAACTATCCACAATTGTTTTCATCCTTTTATACAGCTCACCTACTGTTGTGTACATATTTTTTCAAGTTCTTTCTTTCTTTCTTTCTTTCTTTCTTTCTTTCTTTCTTTCTTTCTTTTTAAAGAGAGTTGTAATTAAAGAACAGCAGGAGAAACACCCAATCAAATGGATCTCTTTTCAGGGTTCCGTAATTGGTATGACAAAAGGTTTGGATGGAGTAAGGAATCATGGAATTAATTTTGTCCAGCATGGTCAGACCTTCTTCTTCTCCTCCTTAATACCTCACACTGTCTGGATTAAGATCAACGCTGTGCCTGGTACACACCTGCCACCCTTTCTGCTCCCATTAGCAAATCTGTGGAATGTGTAAAATTTGGGGGAGGAATGGAAGTGATGCTGGCAGGTGATACCTTTCTGAGCTGAAGCAGGTCACACGTCTCCTGAGGCTTGAATGGTGCTTGTTGGCTCCCTCAGTACCTCTCTGGGATTTGCTGTACCTCTTTGCCTGGCTCCCTACAGAGCCTACAGGAATTTGGTCAGAGTGGTACAGACATCGCCAGGAGAGTCAACAGTCATTGGTAGTCTTTTGCAGCAGGGGTCTTAGTCATAAGACCCCACCTGGTTATATATTGTAGAAGAGGTTAGACCTACAACGGGCATAGGTCTAACTTAAGCACGACAGAAGGACACACTCAACTCTAGCTGACAGTAAGTAAACCGTAGGAGTTTTGTAACATAGAATCATAGAATTCCATAGTATGTTTTGCTTTCAGCCTAAAAGATTTAATAATAATACACATTAATATTTGAGCTATGCTGCAACATTCTCTGGCTTAAAAAAGGCCTTATTTGCGTTTTCCTTATTATAGATTTTTATACATTGTAGAGGCTGGTCTATTTTATCACCTGCTTTACCAAGGACTAGCCATGATATTACCTTTCATTTCTTTTCTAAATGGTAATTATTAATAAATATGTTCAATTCTTTCACTTGAAAGTCTTTCAGACAGATTTATAGATTAGTATAAATGAGACAGCCCCTGGCCTCAGACTTGTGAGTTTTTAAAAATTATGATAAATGAAAAGGGGATGAGGAAGGAAAAGAAAAAAATGCAGCCCATGCAAGGACTCAAATCACCAAATAAATCCACAGTTATTATCTTGCCAATGTGTATAGTGAGAGTGCCCACCTGTTCTGCAACACCTCTCTCATACAGGTAGTTCCCCTAACAGGTACATGAGGAATTTTGCTATTCTAAACCTTACATTAGAATATAGTCCAGTTGTCATTATTTCTGAAATGGACTATTCCTATTGCTCGTTGCAGGAAAGGCTACCTTGGTAGTCCAGCCTTCTGCCTTCATGCTGTCTCTTTCCATCGCTTCCTTTCTTCTGTTATTTTGTGTTTTGAATATTGGAAGCTGTGAGAACTATAATGATCTGAAAAACCTGGAAACAGAGTTTGCCCTCACTCTTTACCAAAAGTTAGCCGAACGCCATAATAGAACGAATCTTGTCATCTCACCAGCAAGCATTTCTTTTTCGTTGGGACTTCTGCAATTTGGAGCTCAGGGAAATACGCTTGGACAACTGAAACATGCTTTGGGATACAACATTCACGGTAAGGAATCTTCCGAGACCTTAGTATTTAATGAACGCTGCGTGTCATTATAAAGCCTATCCGAGAATTTTCATTTTTCTACACTGCCAAAATCATATTAAGCAAAACTGAGTGCCCTTTCAACCTATGAATATGTTAGTTTTTATCTGATAGGCATGACTTTGTTTTTTGTCTGTTCAAAATTAGCCAGTATGAAAGTGTTACTTTTTAAACGTTCTGCTTTTGTTGCAGTACAGATTTTTTTCCTCACTCTCGTTAAATTATTAAAAAGAGCTTTCCCTATAGAAACATGCCATTTAAACCTTTGATGGGAAACTTACCCAAGAACTTCCAACATCTGGAGAGGATCGTTTAAATTTAGTAGAATGCAGAGAGTCACTGGTCTCTTGCACCCAGAAGAGCCAAGAGTACTAGCTAGGAGGACACAGAATTATTATATAGGATCACAAATAAAAAGAGATTTGGCATGTGTGTACATCGACATAATTTTAAATGCAATTGCTTTGCAACTAATGAGGTAGGGAAATAAATAGAAAGTCAGGGTAGTATCTTAAAGATACAGCTCCTTTTGAAATGCAACTAGCACAAATGTTTGCTTTGATCCACAAGAACACCAAGCTTTTAACTGTTGTTCTAATGGTTTGACTCAACCTACTGTTAAGGAGGAAAGAAATGACAAGATTGATGTTAATTAGCAGCTTTGAGAGTGTTTCCAAAAGCTCATAATTTCTGATACTAATTTGGTTTCAAAGTCAATTAAATGTGACTTGCAATAAATGCTATTTTTCCCATGCCAAATGCAAGAGATTTTCTCCTTAAATATTTCCTCCTCAAAGCAAATAACAAGTAAATCTGCATCTCCTTATTCTTTTCAACTTCTTAGTCAAGGAAACTTCAAAGACTAAAACAAATATTCAGAGATGGAGTGGTTGGCAACTCATTGATCAAGGTAGTGCAAAAGGGTATGATGAATGCTAGGGGAATAGATTCAGCCTTCTCTTTTTCAACCTCCATTTATGCTCTCCACCTCTCCCCCATTTGTTCTGGGGGAAATTGTGAGAGTGCACTTTAGAGCGAAGAACCAGAGGAAGATTGTTGAAGGAGCAGTTATCCAATGTGGCCCTTGTGTATGAACTGGGGGCAATATGAGATAAGACCAGAAATAATATTTATTGGCTCTCTAACAGAGTCATCTAAATGCTAGCAAAACAGTTCTTGGCTGGTTGTGCAGTGAATGTTTTTAGTATCTTCTCTTGGTTCCAGTTCAACTCCTTCATTTGTAGGATTGCTACAATGCTTTGAGGGCAAAAAAAGCAGGGAAGTCAGAAGGCTACAGGGAGAAGAGGAAGACTGTACAAGCCACTATTATTCCCTCCTACAGTATGACCTTCTAAAGATCATGGAGGGGGCAATTCACATTCAGTGGTGTGACTTTGTATCATTATGATTTCTCCCCCTTGACTACATTAATACAAGGACATCTCTTGTTCTTAGATGAGAACGTCCAGAACTTCTTGCACACAGCCTACAAAGAAGGAATTAATTCCAACCAAAGTATTATAGTGCACTTGGCATGTACCCTTTTTGTTCAAGCTGGGATACAGCTTTCACCTCAATTTGTTCAGCAGGCTGCATGGTGGGGAAATAACACAGTGCAGCAAAGTAACTTCAGTGATCCTAACAGGACCAAAGCACAAATTAGGGAATGGATTACCCAGAATACAGGAGGTAAGCATTTGGTAACCCTATTGTTCTCTTTTGTCCCTTTGCAATACACCTAATTTGCACCAGCTCTTTTGAGACTTTACTCAAGCACAGTGTAGCAATGTGTAAGCAAGCAACGTTTGAGTTTGCTTGCCAACTGTCTCCCATGATCTCTTTGGGATGTAACCTGCTGAGGCTAGCAAAGACTGGCATGAGCCCTAGGAAAGAAAGGTATCAAAAGATTCTATTGCTGTGCCCTGGGTGTCTCATTCTGAACCAAGAAACTCAAAATGTGCAGGCCATAAATTCTGCAAGCAACAGTGTGATCTTCTCTGCAGCCTGGGTTCATATAATTCAGCTGGTAGCTGAACTTCACAGACAAGGTAGTAACATCCAAGTCAAGCAAGGTTTCCAATGAGAACTAGCTTCAATACAGTCTAAAGTGAAGTACGTGGCTCACAAAGTGGGATTATCATAGAGTTGTTTCAGCCCCAGACTGCCAGGCAGGAGCACAAATGATACCGATTGGTCCTAATTTCCAGTACAATATTCCATTTATGTTTGGAAAACAAGAAGAACATTGTCCCTTATTTATTGTACATTTCCTCAGGGCCAACATCACTTATGTCCTGGACCTGATGACCGGGATTGCTTCCAAAACTAAATCAGTGATGGTATATAAATATATATACACAGCACTTCAGGTCTGGTCCCTGCTATCTTCAGCTAAAAACATCTGGAGAAAATTATGAGATAGAGCATCCTATATAAACCTAATTGTTTGCTGAACCTTCTCTTTGGAGAATTGATTATAGAAGAATCGGGGGTTTGACAGCTCTCCAGAAATATCAAGATAAAGATTAGATTCTTTTTCTGCTATCTGACTTCATGACTTTGCTTGGTTCTGCTAGATTTTGCACTTACAGTACCAGCAGTCCAGTGCATCTGAATAGTAAGGGGTTTTTTTCCCCCAGATTGCAACTAAGATGCCATTAATTTGCCATCAAATTCTTCTTTGTTAAGTCCTAAAAGCAGATGAAGTTGTTACTGTTTCCGAGTTAACGTTTCAAACAGAGAACAAATGTGTTACACTCATCTCTGTTAGTAGATTTCACTCTTTTGTTTTCTGTCCTTCAACAATACAGAAACAAGCTGCCTATCCTTGGACACGATTGAGTCTCCCCTTAACCAGATAGCCGTGGTAAGCACCATACACTTCAGAAGCACATGGCAAAGGAAATTCAGTTTCACGCATACACAAGCTTTGTCCTTTACCACTCCAGATGGCATCACCTTGAAAGTGCCTGCCATGTATCTCAGAGCGGAAGTCAATTACGGTAAGGATAATAGGAATGGACTTTTTCTATGCAGACAAGTTTCCATCTATTCCTGCACCGACAGAGAGAAAGAAACTAGAAGAAAAAGAGAACCAGCATAGTATTAAGGAACAAGGAAGACTCAGGTTCAAGTCCACCCACAATCAAGGAAGCTCACTAGGTGATTTTGAGCCAGTCACTCTCTCTCTCAGCCCAACCAAACTCACTAGGTTGTTGTTCCGTGGAATGATGGGAGAGGAAGCATTGTGTTCACTGCTTCAAACTCCTGAAAGAATGCACGTTATAAATCCAACAAACATAAAGACGAGTAAACAAGGAACCTCAGAGAATATGCAGTAGTCAAAGAAATGACTCCGATGTCTGAATTCTCTGCGCTTGGAAAGGGGAGCCTAGCAACTATATTTGCAGCTAGTGAAATAGTCCTAAACTGTTAAAATGTCCTGTAAGAAAAAGTGGAGAGTGGCATAGTGTTTTCTGTTTTCAAAGAGGCGTACAGCCCACAGCCTTGCTCGTCAGCACTTTTTGTATAGCTTCCAGTCTTCTCTTGCCAGTTGCCCTTTAACACATTTTTAGTGAATAGCTGACAATCATCTCCCACATTCTGCTCATCAGAGCACTCGGGGTGACCAATGACATTGTAAAATAAAACACAAAAATATTAAATAGATGGTAAATCCAGTTAACTATTAAAACCTTGGCGAATCAAAATATATTTTTACAGATTATTTAAACCAATGTTTCTCAACCACAACAACTTTAAGATGTGTGGATTTCAACTATCAGAATTCTGGCTGGGGAATTCTGGAAGTTGATGTCAGCAGAGCTTAAAAGTTGCTGAGGTTGAGAAAAACTGATCTAAACACTGATACAATGAGCACCATGAGAGTGTGTTCCACAGACTTCAAACAAACAAACAACAAAGATGATTAGGGGACTGGAAGCTAAAACATATGAGGAACGGTTGCTGGAATTGGTTATGTCTAGTTTAACGAAGAGAAGGACAAGGGGGGACATGATAGCAGTGTTCCAATATCTCAGGGGCTGCCCCAAAAAGAGGGAGTCAAGCTATTCTCCAAGGCGCCTGAAGGCAGGACGAGAAGCAATGGAGGGAAACTGGTCAAGGAGAGAAGCAACTTAGAACTAAGGAGAAACTTCCTGACAGTTAGAACAATTAACCAGTGGAACAACCTGACTCCAGAAGTGGTGAATGCTCCAACACTGGAAGTTTTTAAGAAGAGACGGGATAGCCATTTGTCTGAAATGGTGTAGGGTTCCTGCCTGAGCAGGGAGTTGGACTCTATGACCTCCAAGGTCCCTTCCAATTTTTTTATTATTATTATTATTATTATTATTAATAATAATAATAATAATAATATAGTGCAGGAGAAGACACAGTTGTGTGGTGGAAATTATAAGTTTGATGTGCGTTCTGATTTTCATCCTGCCCTTAAACCTTCTGTAGAAGTGAAAACATATCCAAAATCCTGCTTAGATCAGATTTGCCTTTGAGTGGTCCTCTGAGGTATTTTATTTAATATATTCATGTATGCAACATCTATGATTGGCACTACCTAAAACCTAAATTAGTGTAACATAGTGATTAAGAAATTGTGCTGTAAAGCAGAAAGTTCTTGATTCCAGCTTCATTTCTACTGTGAATTCAGTTGGCCACCTTTGATATATCACTCTCTTTCAATTCATTCCCTTTGCAATAGGGGAAATATTTTTACTGAATTTATAGGACTCTAATCAGGATTTTTTACTACTACAATACAGCAATATTTTACTGCTAGTGCAAAAAGTGCCATCCAATTAAATATAGCTGATGCTTTTTAAAGATTATCACCCAGCACATTTCTGTTTGGTATATGTCCATAAACATAAAATGCAAAATAAATATTTTTTTTCAGATGGATCAAATATATGAAGTATTATTTTAAAATGCTATAAAATATGCAAATAATGGTCAATGACAAGAAAGATTTGAGGGAAAGGCTTTCAGTCTGCTTGATAACCTAGATGTAATTATTTATCAAGGATCTGGCAAAAAAAAAGGCTTTTCCAAATGCTCAGAACTAAACAAGTAGAGCTCATTAGGTCCTTGGTGAATAGTGTTATGGAGCTGAAGTATCACCTCTCAAAAGGTCTTACTGCAATTACTGAAAATCCTGGTATGTTTGTTAATAGTATACAACTGGTTTTTTTGACTTGCAGGTGAATTTCTACTGAGCTCTCTGGATAAGATCAGTGTGGTTGAAATACCTTATCTGGAGGAGAAGGTTAGCATGTTTGTGGTGCTTCCATCCAACAGGAGAACCTCTCTAGCCAGGATTGAGACTTACTTCTCTGCTCAAACCTTATCTCTATGGTCCAGCACCTTGAGAAGAACAGCAATGGATATCGTTCTCCCTAGGTAAAGAATCAATGTACATTCAGTTGCTTCAACATTTGGATCTCTGCTCATGTTTGCTGCATGTGTAAAAGGTACAAACTTGACTGTGGACAAAAGGCCAGGATTATGGATATGAAATATGGTTGGAAAGAGGAGAGGGCACAGCTATAGCATCTTGCACCTGTGCTGCCTAAAATCTTAAGTGTAGAAATCCAAGGATAAGACCTTGGAAAAACTATACAGAAATGATTACAAGTGCATGCTTTAAGCCCTAGAAACACAGAATGAGAACACACAACTTCTTCTGATAAATATGCAATATGCAGGATGGATTGTGTGCTCTTGAAATATTGCTGGATTGCAATTCCAGTCGTATCTCATTCTTTTCCTTGCTAAGTAGGCTGTTGGGAGGTGAAGTTCACTAAGCCCCGGAGAGGCCATATGTCACCTTGCCCATAGAGGAATTACACTGAAAAACCAACATAGTATATTTATAGTGTTCATCTATCAACTTTCCAGGTTCAAAATTCAAAATCATTTGGATTTAAAGTGGATTTTACCCGCATTAGGAATTACAGACATGTTTGACCAAACTGAAGCTAATTTTAAAGGCATTTCAGGTAAGCTAGCCTATACAACTTTTTCAGGACAAATGCCATATGCAACTTTGAGGGCTTAGGAGCCACAGTCTAAAAAGTAGACAGGATCAGAATAAAGAAAGGAAAAAGCACCTAAATTTAATTTAAAGTGAAATAATATAATACAACAATCTCTTATATATTTAAAGTTTTCCCTCTTCTGTGATATTGTAAATTACAATTCAATGGAAACTTTTGGAAGATCTTAGGAACCATATGTACATTATATTGAACTAAGGACTCAGATTATAAATTCTGCTCTGTGGCAGTGATTCATCACAAAAGATCTTCTAATTGAAGTTTTGGGTCTATAAAACAGTAAGCTTTCTAATCACGGGTGGACATTGATTATTTCAGGAGCAAGAATGTACCTTGTACTCTGTCCATTTCACACAATGCTTAATTTGAGCCTCTGTCACTTAATATGTTTCACCATGAAGCTTACAAATCAGTTCATTTATCATGGCTAACTTATGCTAGAAGTACTCAAAAGCTACATTTTTTTTGTTTTTACAACCCTATAATCCCTTTTTATCAGGGTAGATTTGGGGTGATTGAATGGAGCTGAGCATTTACTGACCGGATGCCTTTCTGATGCCTACTCAGAGTTGCAGCAGATATGTTCTCATTGTGCCCTAATAGAGAAACATCTGCCACTGCCTAGAACTGAACTCTTGAAAGTGTACGAGTGTGAGGCAAGTGTCTTCACTTCTAGGCCATCATGCTGCTCATTCAAAAGCTACAATATTGCTGCTAAAATGAAAATCCTTCAGTTGAAAAGCCCTAGGTAGATCTTTAATATAAAGAGAAAGAATAAGTAAAATAGACAAAGGTATTTTGGATAAAGATCTTTTTTTGGGGGGGGGGTAAGGATAAGGTAAGGGTAAGGATGAACTTTTTAATAAGGATAGTTTTGTACCAGGGGACTTTTTCAGTCATATTTGATGTTAGAAGAGTTAGGGGTGAAAATGTTGACTCAGTTCTCATTGCAATTCGTGTGTTCATTAATGGATGTCTCCACTTCATTGAGGATACTTAGTAAATTAATTTTATAATTTCTGGAAGAAACTCTCTCCTGAGCAGTTTTTCTTTGAATAAGTTCTTTTGGCTTTACGCTGGCAAATAATAACTGCTTTTGTTTGCTAGAACAAGGAGGTCTTTATATCTCAGAGGTCTTTCATAAAGCAAAGATTGAAGTGACAGAAGATGGTACAAGAGCCTCAGGCATTACAGGTAAACTAGAGAGAATTGGAAATGATGAATCTGGAAAACAAACAAATGGTTTATTATTTAAACAGCACTTCTAACACAAATATCTTTTTTATATAATTCAATAAATACAGCTCCTTGGGGCAATCTGTTTGCCCACGTTTTAAAACAGCTTAACCCAATTGGAGCCCCATCAAATGTTATTATCAACCATGCACCTATGATATTGAGAACAAATCCGGTTTTCCATGTCATATCATGGTTTGCAGTTTGCTGCCTGGCGGCAAACAGGAAGCAAGCTTTCAGCCCTACAGAAAAGCTTCCCCTCTTACATCAAATTTCATCTCTGACAAGTATGGGACCTCTTTAAAAAAAAATATTTTTCATGTTGACTTTCCCTAGGCATTAACCTTTTCTGTTGTTTTATCTGCTATAATTTTATAATGTTGTTTGAATAATTGCTGTGATGTACACTTCAGAATTTCTACAGTAAGAAACAATATAGACATAATTATAACAATTCCAAGAAGAACAAGAAAAGAATTCCCAGTCAGCATGGTCAAATTTGCGGATTTCAGGAAGTTGTACTCTGGAGGGAAGCAAAATGGGGAAAACCATGTTAAAGGTTGCACCTAATAATTTCAATCATTCAGAAATGGGCTGCAGCAAATCCCAATCCAATAGATTGGGAGATCACCAGTGACACTTATTCTGACCTCATTATATATACTATTGACATTTGAACCAAAAAGGACCAGTAATAGTATTTATTGGCTAACAGTCATCTAATTGTTTCCAAAACAGTTCTTGGCTAGTTGTGCAATACACTTTTCTAGCATCTTCTCTTGGCTCCAATTCAACTCCTTCATTTGTAGGATTGCTACAATGCTCTGGGGGCAAAAAAGCAGGGAAATCAGAAGGCTATAGGGAGAAGAGTAAGATTGTACAAGCCACTATTATTCCTTCCTACAGTATGACCTTCTAAAGGGAGCAATTCACATTCAGTGGTGTGACTTTGTATCTTTATGATTATAAAAAGGAGCAATGCATGTGGACAGACATAAAACTAATTTTAAAAAATGGATATGGACAGACTTAACAAGATATAGTGTTATATTGTATCTTATAATTCTAAATACTATTTGTGTTTCAGCGTTATTCCTCATAATATATTGCTAGGATATGGCCATTCATGCTCATGACAGTTTCTCAAACCCTATCAGCAGGATTTGGGAAAACAATGTTTGTGGGAAGACCAGATAAGACAAAATGGTGTATGTATGGAGGGGGGAGGAAACCCTCAAATTAATCCAACCATGATTTAGCATGTGCTGTAAGAAGTCCTGGAGTGAAATTAGATGGGTGGAATGGGAGGCAGGGTGATGTAGGGTCTGGCTTGGAAAGATCAATAAGGATGTCTTGGGTTGCAACATTCCATTACTGAGATATTCCAATTCTGTAGTAAAGGTAGTCCTCGACTTACAACAGGTCATTTAGTGACTGTTCAAAGTTACAATGGCACTGAAAAAAGAGACTTATGACCATTTTTCACACTTATGACTGTTGCAACATCTCCCTGGTCACATGATCAAAACTGAGGTGCTTAGCAACTGGTTCCTATTTATGATGAATATGCAGTGTCCTGGGATCATATGATCATCTTTTGCAACCTTCTGACAAGCAAAGTTAATGGGTAAACCAGACTCACTTAAGAACAAGTGTTACTGACTTAACAATTGCAATGATTCACTTGACAACTGTGGCAAGAAAGATCGTAAAATGGGGCAAAACTCACTTAACAAATGTCTCACTTAGCAACATACATTTTGTGCTCAATGGTGGCCATAGGTTGAGGACTATCTGCATTTAGTTTTACTTTCTATGAGATATTTGAAATTGAACAAATGTAAATAATGCCAGATATTCACCAACTGTTTTATATCACAGCTATGTTGTTGTTAAAAAGATCCAGAGCTCCTGTCTTCAAAGCTGACAGACCTTTTAATTTCATTCTAAGCCAAGCCAAAACAGGTAAACATGGGTTATTTTAGCCATAAAAACATTATTATGATCGCAAAATATTGCTGCTTTTTTGATAGGTTAGTAGTTTGACATTTCATAAAGCAAAGATCTCTTTTTTTAATGTATTTGTTAAATTTATATGGGCTCATCTTAAATATTTGGTTCTGGGCAACTAACAATTAAAAACAAAATAAAAACAGTCAGCAAAATTATAAATAAAAGAGCAGCTGAGCATCAACACTAATAGTCATCTCCAATCAATGTAACCATGAAATGGGTTCACCTGTACTTCCAGGACCTCAGGATTAATGGTGAAAAAAGGTTGTGACGGTCTTGCAAAAAGCTAGCAGGGTAGGGTGAGTTTGATTTGCAGGGAGATGATGTTCCAGAGAACAGCTGCCATGACAGAAACAGCTCTGTCTCACAAATTTGCCTTCGTTTGTGAGGAACAGCTCTCTTCCTGGGTCCCACTGATGGCACTCTCTCGCTGATGGGTCCCAAAACCTTAGAGAAGCAGCATCTAAACCATGAGTATCCAACCTTAGCAACTTTAAGACCTGTGGACTTCAATTCCCAGAATCCCCACCAGCATGGGAGTTGAAGTCCATAGGTCTTAAAGTTGTCAAGATTGGACACCCCTGATTTAGGCTAATTTTAATGCATTAAGTTTATCAATTTGGATGGCAAAACTGCAAATGACCACTAGGGAATGACAACAATACAATTTTTTATTGTTTTCTTTACAGATACCTAGTGGTCATTGTATTTTTTAGCATGCTTACCTGAATTCCATTATTTTACTTTTAATCTATAGGCATCCAAGCACTTTCACCTTATTCATTCTGTTGAGATGCACCAATTCATAGACAATGAGGTGTTATTTTCTTAAAATGGCACTGACATGATTCAGTTAGAAAGGAAACAGATACAAGGGGGCTATACTTTCTACTGCAATATTACTCATGCATTGCCTTCTAATTAAGTAAAGTGCTTGAGATTTGCTTCATACCATCAGAAAGGTACTTGCCACTGTCTTCTCAGTGAACCTTTACTACAAGGGGATGAATGGAAAGAACAGTTCTGTTGAAAATATCAGTACACCAAAGATCAAAGGCCAAACAAAATCAGAATTTGTCTTTGTTATTATGATGTCTAGCTCATCCATACGGCACACATTTTTCTGACATTCCTTCCTCTGCATTGCGTTTTTTCCCCTCAGGATATTTTTATGACTTTTTTTTTTTTTTAGTAATTGTGAGTTCTGACTGTTCCATTCAAACCCTTGTAAGTGTTTCAAATTTCAGAACTTGCTTTGCAACATGACTCCCATTTTCCCCCATTGACCTCAAGCAGAGGGAAGGGATCTGCAAGAAGAAAAAATACTATCTATTTTTACACACTCTGTAACTGTGCAGTTTTGAACAAACTTTCATCTCTGCACAGTTTAAGACTTAAGCAGAAGTGTGTGGGGCAGAAAGAGACAATTGGCCATGGCTGCCTGGCCCTGCCCCCCTTCACCCTGCCCCCCATCCCAGCCAATCCACTGTGGGCATCTCTTCCCTGCCATTCCTCCCCTTCCGCTCCTCCCACACTGTCTCACCCCAGGCAATTTGACATGAGACAAATTGCCATGACTGATTCACCATGTAGGACAACTAGCTACGCATCCTGGCAGCCAATTCATGCACCAAGGGGTGGGCTTCTGCCTTTCCATGGATGTGACATACAGAGAGGACGCCAGATGGGGCAGACAATGGCCTCAGCTGCCGGGAAGCAGGGGATGTGGCAGTTGCTTTGCAGGGCAACCAGACCACTCCTTCCTGCTTGCGCTTGGCTTTTTGAGCTATTTTGATTGTCAGCAAAATGGTTTTAGAAGTTATTTAGGTCCTCGCAAATACATCTTTGCAACCGCCTGCTTTAAAAAAAAAGCCCAAACAGTCCTCAAGCAAAAGTGACTTTTTCATATGGCCATATCCTCTTTCTGTTCTTCCACAGCTGAAATGGCATGCTAATTGCATATGCTATATACATGTGATAAAACCCACACCTTTGCTCTGTGACATTATGTTATAAATATAGAAGGTATTACACAGCTAAGCATGAATGTTTATCAGCAGAATGTTAAATTGAGTCTTTTAAAATCAATACAGTGGTATATCAGAAACAGAATCTGCAGATTGCTTTCTCTTACATTACAGGTTTCTCAATCAAAATGTTCACATTCAGAATGTTGCTTTTAGCCACAATTATCCAAAACTGTGTATCTTATGCTCCAAAACAAATGGTTCACCCTATTCAAGGCCAGATAAAGTATCTTAGTGCCTGGGATAACAAATCTGAGATATTTTAAAATTTCATTTCATTTTTGAAGTGCCTTGTTTCCCCCCCCCCCTCTCTCTTTCTCCTACCTTGCCTGGTGGTTGTTTTCTTTTAGCTGTGTTAGAATAGCATTCATTTATCAAAGTTGTAGACATCTTATTTTTCAACTTCCAATATTATTAATTTCCAACAGCTTGCGGTGTATGTGGCTCCCTAATTTGCTGTTTCTCAACCATAGGAACTTTTAAGATACATGGTTCTCAACTCCCAGAATTCTCCAGGCAGTTGCTAAGGTTGCCTAATTGCTTAGACAAGATCATTCTGTTTTATCCAAAGGCCTTTCTCAACTTGCTGTCTTCCACAGATGTTGGGGCTATATTGCTTAACCAAGCCAACAAGTTAGCAAAGACTATAGAAGACTATAGAAGAACCATTAAAGTTCTTACTTTACTATAAGCCAGGGGTCCCAATCCCCAGTCCATGGCCCATTGGGAACCGGGCAGTGAAGCTCCATTTGCACAAGTAGCAGACTTATGCATGAACCCTCCTCCCTCCCCACCACTGCCAGTCCACAGCACCAGAAAGGTTGAGGACTTCTGCTATAAGTAATATGTCTAAACTGAGGCTGAACTGAATCTTTTTTTTTTTTTACAGGTTCAATTCTGTTCATAGGAAAATTTACAAATCCTACACAGTAAACTTAAAATTAATCCATCTACTTGTCTACTTTTCCAAAGCACTGAGGCATTACTATACATATCTAAGTAGCACATTTGATCTGGGATCATTTTTCTCTTTTAATGACCCTGTAATCCATCAGAGTGGAATCGGGGTGATTGAACAGAGCTTGAGCATATTCTGGCCAGATGCCCTTCCTGACGCCTATGCAAAGTTCACAGCAGACAATTACTCACTGGGCCCAGAGAGAAATACCTACAGCTACCTAGGATCAAACGGCACAGTCTCCTGATTTTGAGACAAGGGCTCCACTTCTAGGCCACCACCGCTCACATTTCACCTTGGAATATCCAGAGGAAATTATGGGAACTATAAATCATACTGGTAGTAGATTTTTTGTGGGGGAGTGGAAGGAGGTAGCTAGCTTCAGTGTCCAAGAAAATAAGGAAAAGATGACCTGTGATGCTACCAACTTTAATTCAAACATATTAAATAAATGGTGTGTGTTGAGTCCGTGGCGGGAAAACAGACACGAGAAGCAGCTGGAGTTCTCAGTTTCATTTATTCAGCGTTCAGCTTACAGGAAGATGGCTTCAGCTTCGCCCAAACGCCTCGCAGCCTCTTATATAGGCAACTCCCGGGTAAATGGGTTACTTTTCCCGCGCCAGCACCCGCGCATGCGCACGGCGCTGGCGACAGCCTGTCTGGTCCCGGGCAGCTTTGCACCTGCCCGGGACTGCCTGCAAACGCCCGAGCCGTTTGCAAGGCTCGGGACATAACACCCCTTTCCCCCGGGCTAAAACTACTACCAACATACAACATTTATTTTATATGACATTTTGCTCCCCAGTGCTCCCACTGATTACTGGCTTTTGCCTTGCCAGCAATGTTATGTAATCTTCTAGATACTTAGGAGATTTCTTTGCTCTCTGTGACCTTCTTAGCTCTGGGTTACTGGCATAAGTCCCCTGACTGGAGGGAGGCGTGAGCCTGTTCTCTCTATTGTGCCCTGGTGTCTTCCAAGGACTGTGCCCCGATGCCTGGCCTGCTTGCTTGCCCACCGGGCTCGTCAGGCCAGGGCTTCTGTTGCTTTGTGACCTGGTTGACCTACCTAGCTGTAGACCCTCAGGCCCCTTGAAGTGATAGCCGCTGCTGGGCGTCTCTGTAGAACCTCCTAGGTCAGTCCAAGACCTGTCAGGAGGCTGTCCATTCCCTGAACCCCATTCTGTGTTCGGGCTCGTGTGGGTTTCTGTACTTTCCCAAAACTCAGGTGTTCCCTGATTTGTGCTAGGGTTGTTGTAGTCGGGACTTGGTTCCTCGACTAACTCTGTGTATGTTTGGGGATTTGGGGTAAGGTCAGGCCAACCTTGGGAATTGTGTGCCAGCTCTCTTGCGGGGAATGATTTGTTGGGATGCCCCCGGGTATCCTCCGTTGCTGGAGTGCTGTGTGATGTGTGTGGAAAGTGAGTATGCCCCCGGGGTGACTCCCTGGCTGGAGTAGGCGTGAGTGCCTGTTGTGTGGGTAAGCTCCATGACTTTCTTTTCGGAGCAATTGCAGAACCTTGGGACGAGCCGTTTGTGGCTCCCTCAGTGGAGATGGGCAGTAGCTCTTGCCCTTCCCTTTGCTCCAAAGGGTCCCCCTCCCCCCCTGGAAAAGACCCAGGAGTCTCAGCAGAAAAGTCTCGCCTAGAGCGAAGTTGGTCGATGTGCCGACGCAGGACACGACCGTTGTCCAGGGCAACCTCGTAGGAGAGAGGACCTGTGATCCTGGACACAGAAGCGGGGACCCATGTATGACCAGGCCCGTAATTGCGAGCCCAAACCGGGGCACCCACAAGTAGTTGTCTAGGTGCCCTAGGATGTGAGGTAGATGAAGGCAGTCTGTCCGGATGCAACCGGTCAAGTCTAGTAGTAAGTTGGCGCCCCCAACGAAGTTCAGCTGGACTTCTCCCTGTAGAAGTGGACGGTGTGGTGCGATAAGAAAGGAGAAAGTCAGCCAACCTGTGATGCCAGTCCCCGTAGGTGAGTCTCTTCAAGGCGTCCTTTGCGATGCGCACCATGCGTTCAGCCATACCGTTGGTGGATGGGTGAAAAGGTGCAGATGTGGCATGACGAATCAGGTTTGCCTGTAAGAAAGCTTGGAATTCGGAGGAGGTGAATTGAGGGCCGTTGTCGGACACAATGACATCTGGCAGCCCGTGTGCAGCAAAAATCCCCCTCAGTACCTGAATAGTCTTTGCAGTGGTGGTGGATGAGACAGGCACAACCTCAAGCCATTTTGAATGGCTGTCAACAAGGACCAAGAAGAACTGGCCCTGAAAGGGCCCAGCGTAGTCAATGTGCACCCTAGACCATGGGGACTGTGTTTCCTCCCATCTATGCACAGGAGCTTGGGGCATCTCTGGGCGAGATCGTTGGCACAGGTGGCATGCGTGTACCTTAGCCTCAATATCTTTATCTAAACCAGGCCACCACAAGTGGCTGCGTGCAAGAGCCTTCATACGAACAATGCCAGGATGACCCTCGTGGAGGGATTCTAAGACCCTAGTCCTCATTGAGGTGGGAATGACAACTCTGTTTCCCCAAAGCAGACAACCCTGAGAAAGGGACAGTTCGTTCCTTTTGGACCAGAAACTCTGAAACTCAGGACTAGGGCAGTGCTCAGGCCACCCGGACAGGACCCAGGAGCGGACACGTGAAAGTGTGTGATCTGTACCCGTTTCAGCGGTAACATCCCTGGCACTAAGAGGGAGCTCGGGCAAGGCTTGGATTGATAGAATGTTGACAGCTGGCGCGGGGTCAGCTTCTACTACTGGCAGAGGCAACCTACTGAGGCCATCAGCATGGCCCATTTCTTTCCCAGGCTTGTGGAGTAATGAAAAATCATATGCAGACAAGAAAATAGACCACCTAAGCATTCTAGGGAAATGATGTGGGGAGTCTGCTTACGTGTGGTAAACAGTCCCAGCAGAGGCTTATGGTCAGTGAAGACCGTGAAATGCCTGCCATATAGAAAATCGTGGAATTTTTTAATTCCAGCAACAACAGCCAGAGCCTCCCTGTCTATCTGAGCGTAGTTGCGCTCGGCAGAAGACAGTGTTCTGGAGTAGTATGCAATAGGAACCTGAGTTCCATCAGACCTGAGGTGACTCAGGACAGCTCCAACCCCGTAGGGGGACGCATCACAAGCGATGCACACAGGGAGAGACTCGTTGAAATGTGCAAGAACACTGTTAGAAGTGAGCAAGGCCTTGACTTCTTTAAAGCAAGCCTCATGCGCTTGTGACCACAGCCACACAGCCTGTTTGTCTAGTAGCCTGTGAAGAGGCTCAGCTACACTAGCTTTATGTGGAAGAAAAGAATTGTAGAAATTCAGGAGGCCTAGGAAGGCCTGAAGTTCGGCCTTAGACTTTGGCCTGGGTGCATCTAAAATAGCAGTTAGTTTGGATTCAGCAGGATGAATCCCAGCAGCATCAATTTTGAATCCCAGAAATTCAGTAGAAGGCACCCCAATCTGGCATTTGTCTTTTCTGAGCTTGAGGCCTGATTTCCTGAATCTTAACAGGACAGCCCTAAGCCTTTCAGCTAGAATGTGTGTGGAGTCTCCTGCAATCAAGACATCGTCAAAGTAGGGGCAGACCCCTGGTATACCTCGTAGTGTGTTTTCCATAACGCTTTGGAAAATCCCAGGAGCGACATTCACTCCAAACTGTAGCCTTTTTACTTTAAAGGCTCCCCTGTGGGTCACAATGGTCTGAGCTATGGCAGCATCATCATCAACAGGCAGCTGTTGATATGCTTGAGCTAGGTCAAGCTTTGCAAAAACACGCCCCCCCTTGAGAGAGGCCAGGATGTGACTGACCACAGGAACAGGATAGGCATGTTGCTGCAATGCCTTATTGAGTGTGCATTTGTAATCAGCACAAATGCGAATGTCCCCATTTGCCTTTAGAGGCGTGACAATGGGGGTCTCCCACGGGCTGGAATCAACAGGTTCTAGGATTCCCTGTTGGATTAGTTTGTCTAGTTCAGTGTCAATCTTACTTTTTAAAGCAAAAGGGACCCTTCTTGCTTTAATCCTAATGGGAGTGACAGTGGGGTCTAGCTTTAAGGACACAGGTGGTCCTTTGAATGTGCCCAGCTGGGGGCTGAAAACATCTGCAAATTCTTTGCAGACTTCCTGTAGGTCGAGTGTTTGTAAGCTATTGAGTCCTGTGACGTGTATCCCCAGGGCCTCAAACCAATCGAGTCCTATGAGACTCGTTCGTTCACCCCCTACTACTAATAAGTCTAGTGGACCTTCAAAACTCTTGTATTGCACGTTAAGGGTGGCCTCCCCCTTAACACACACTCTTGAGTTCTGAAAATCTGTTAATACAATATCAGAAGGCCTTAACTTGGCCTTAGACCCACTTCTGGAACAAATCTTCCTAAATGTATGCAATGAAATGATGGACAGGGCAGACCCTGTGTCTAGTTCCATAGATAATGGAACCCCTTGTAGCTTCACGTTGAGTGACAGCTTTTTCTTCATGGGCTTGTGTGTGCCTGTTCTACAGATGCTTCTTCGCGAAGCGCAAAAACCTACCCTATTCTGGCTGGGGAATCTGGTACCCTTCAGGCATTCTTCTTGGGGTTGTGCCTTTCGTCGGCCCAGGCACACAGCTGCAATGTGCCCTTGTTTACCGCATGCCCGGCAGGTAGCGGAGCGGAACTTGCAGTCGGTTCTCCTGTAGCGACCTCCACAGCCGATGCACTTGAGCGGAGCCGAAGAGCTTCCCTTCTGGTTCTCTTCCTTCGCGGGGTGTAGACGGTCGACTTCCTCGTCCGGATCCTCCTCGGAGTTTCGTCGGACGTCTTCCTGGTGCACGGACGCACCCTCTGCACTGTTTCTGATCGGCCGCATGTTTTTGACGGCGCCGCCTGCTGCTTCTTCTGCGGTGACTTCCCTTAAGGCGTCTTGGAAGGATAATTCTTCCTTTGCGAAAAGTCTCTGTTGTAGCTCGCGATGCCTTAACCCGCACACGAATCGGTCCCTCAGTCGTTCCTCGAGGTCCTTGAACTCGCAGGGCTTGGCGGCCTTCCGTAACGCGGCGATGTATTCCTTGGCTGACTCACCGGACCGTTGATCCCTTTGTTCGAAGGTGTGGCGCCATGAGATAACGGACACCTTGGGGTGGAAGTGCTCCTTCAGCAGCTTCTTCAGGTCTGCGTAGCTTACAGACTCTACTGGGACAGGTGCTGCAAGGTTTTCTGCGATTTCGAAGGCGTCTTGGCCGCAAACGCAAAGCAGGGTGGCCGCCTTCAAGCTATCTTCCCTCACTTGGTTTGCCTTGAAGTAGTTCTCCATTCTGGATACGTAGGACTCCCACCGCTCTGGATGTGAGACGTCGAATTCCGAAAGCCTTCCGATTTTCGCCATCTTCGGATCTTCAGGAGACGGGTCTATCAGCCAGCCTACCCCCGAATGCGCACCGGATTGGCGGGCAGCTGCCGAGTCGACGCCGTTCCTCTT